TGTGCTTTTATGCAAACGTTATACGCTTTTAATATTTATTTCGAAATTTTTGGCTGCGTATTAAATTTGTTAACCCGTTTTTAAAAAAGTCGTACAACCTTAAAACAGTTTTAAATATTTTAAATTTGTAAAGCAAAAAGTTTTTGGTAAGCCCGTTTGCTAATATAAAAGCGGTTTTAAAATATACCATATTAAACGTTTTTTTTGGTACTTTTGGCATAACCACATATTTATAATATTTACGTGCTTTAAAACCGTATTAATGCGGGTGCCCTTTTTAATTACTAATTGGATTGTTTGTATATTGTTATAGCAAAGCTTTTAAAAAATATTAATTTTTAAACGCAGGTTTCGGAAAAGCCTTTGCATAGCAATGGTTTTTTTTCCGAACTTTATAAGCGCTAAAAGCTTTGCTTTTATAGTAAACGTTATAACGGTAGCTTGTTTTTTTACTTTTTACGTTACGGGCCTTTCGAATAAGAATATAACGTATCCTTTAAACAACCTTTTCGTTTTTTTATCGTTAGCGAAGGAAGCGTTTAAAGCAAAAAGCAAGTAATCGAATTTTGGAACGTTTTTTAGCTTAATGCAATAAAATTTTAACCTTTTTAAATACAAAAGGGTATGGTTTACCGCTTTTAAATGCTTTTTACTTGGGTTTGTAAGGTATTTAAAAAGTTTTGCGCTTGCAAAAGCAACGTTTAAGCGGATAATAATGGCCGTATAAAGTATAAACCCGATTTTTTTTTGCATGGCCAGGACTTCGGCGGGTATCGCTACCCCTAAATTTTTTTTAAACGTTTGGCTAAGCAACGGGAAGCGCTTTACGCTTTTATTTCCAAAATTAAAAGTATTAACGATTTTGTTAATGTAAAAGTTGTAATGTAAAGTTATTGTTCGTACTTTTTTATCCTTTACGATTTAAACCCTAAAAAATTTTTTAAGTGGTTCCTTTTTTATTTTGTATTCCTTTTTAAAACCGTTTAACATTTTCGTTGCTATTTTTAAATGCGTAGCACGGTTAAGGATAATTATGTTATTAACGTACAAAAAAAAGAAAATTTTACGTTTTATGCTTATAAATAAATAAGGCTTTTCCGTTAACGGGGTAAGCTTTAGCTTTTTAAAGGTTTTTTTAAAAGTTAAGTATTATAATTTCGGTAAGTTTTGTAGCCCGTACAAAGCTTTTTTAAACCGGGTTACAAACCTTTTTCGGTAATACCCAAAAAAGAACTTTATATAAACGGGTATATGGTTATTACCAATTTTTGCGTAAAAAAAAGCTTTATTAACGTTAATTTAATGCGTTTTAAGGTTAAAATAAGCTATAATTGCTATTATAATTTTAAAGCTTTTAGTTGCAAACGTAACAGCGTAAGTTTTTTCCAAACCATTGGGTTATTAATTACCTTTAATTACCGCGCGGAATTTATAATTCGTAACGTAACCGTTTTCGTTAAATTTGTAAATAAATATTTAAATAATATTAATAGCTTTATTATTAAGCAAATTTTTTGGAATTTTTTTTTAAATTTTTTTTTTAATAATTCGTTAATTTTCCCGAAAGCAAATTGTTTAAATTTTTTTTATGCGGGTGCGTATTAAATTTTCGTTAAAATTTTAGGATTTATTGTAATTCGTTTCGATGCAACCGTTTATTTTTTTAAAAATTATTGCATTTCGATATTTTCGTTACGGCAATTGCAATTATTTCGTAAACCGGGCAATGGTTAAAATTACTTTTTTTAATTGCCGTTTGTTAATTAAGCAAATACGTATCGAAAAAGGCTTGTTAATTTTTATTTATTAAGTTTATTTTAAAAGCAACGTTTTTAATTTCCGGTTTGGAAGCGTTAAATGTTATTGCTAAGCCGTAATAAAAAATGGCGCTATTAAAGTTATTGCGTTATTTGTTTTCCCTTTTTTTTTTTTTTTTTTTTTTTTCCTTTGCGGCCGCACGCGTTACGGCGCGGATTGCTTTGGACGTAATTATTGGCAAATCCGGTGGAAACGCGTTAAAGGAAAAGGCTTTAAGCAAAAGCGAAAGGCCCGTCCTTTTACGGGGTTGGCCTTTGCCTTTTTTAACCGGAAAAGGAAAGGAAAGCGGCGCTTTTTGCTCGTTTGGGTTTATTTCGAACAAACTTTTAAAAATTTTAAACGCTTTTAGTATTGCAATTAAAGGCGCCGCAAAAATGCCGTTTGTAATTGCAATTAGCATATCCGGTTTTGGGGTAAGCAAAAACCGGTTTATTGCTTTGTAAGGTAAAGCCAGCCTTAACGATTTTAAAGGTTGTTTTTTAGGTTTATTATTATTTCCACCCTTTACCGGCGGGAAGTTATTGCTTTTCCCGGGCCGTATAAAGCCGTAATACGAATTGCTTATACGTGGGGAGCCCGTATTACGCACCTGCTTTACTTTATGGCCATTTTTTAAAGCATTTGGAATTAAAAATTTATGCGCGTTTGGATCCGGCCCGTTGGCCGAATCCTTTACGGCTTTAGCTTTTGTAATTACGATAAAACCTGGCTTTTTTACCCCCAATTTTTAACTTTAATGTTTGGTAACGAAAATGGGTGTTTAAAGCTTTTTTGGTTGGAAAAGCCCCAACGCATTAACAATTCCTTTTCGGGTTGCAAGCGGGTTTTCCGTTTCGTTGTATTTAACCAGCAAATTGTAAGTAATTACATTAATTAGGTCCTTTTTTTGCTTGCTTTTAAAAAAGCTTCCTTTATTAAATTTAACGTTTTTTATAATTATTACTTTTTTTTTAACGGAATTTAAATTTGGTAAATGTTGGAAATTTGGTAGCTTATTAAATATCCAACCCCGGCACAAGGGTTAATTTTAAAATGCTTAAAATCCGCGTTATAAGACCTTTTTACGTTTAAAAAATAAGCTTTGCATTTATAAGCGTAAATGCCGTTCCAATCCGGTTTTAAATCGGTTGTTAAACCCGTAAAAAGTTTCGGGGCGTAATGCCGAAATTACCCCCGAAACCAATTTAAAAGGATATTATTGGGAGCGCGCATGCTTTTCGACGGTAAAGGATTTATGTTTTTTAATTAAACGGTAACGTAAATTGCTTCCGGCTATAAATGCTTAAAAAGTTTTGCGCTTTTGCGCATGCGTATCCCTTTCGTAATAACGTTTTATCCCGTGCGTTTAATTATTTCGTTAAGTTTGTAAGTATATAACGGTAAGGTTTCGATAACGATGCCTTTAGTTTAAATTCATTTTTTATATTTCGAAAACCCTTTTACAAATATAATAAACTTTTTTTGGTTGTATTTAAAGGTAACAATAAACAATTCGTATTATTTTTTTACTTACGCTTCCTATTTTTTTAAAACTTTGGTAACCGTTGGTTTTTTTTGTTTAAAAATATAAAGCTTTAAGTTTTGCCGCTATATTTATTTATTAATAGCAAAACCCAATTTATTTTTAATTTTAATTTAAAGTAATCGAATAGGTTAAACCAAACCTTTTAAAAAGGGCGCATAGCCTTTTTTATAAAGCGCTTAAAAATAACGGTTGTAACGTAAGTTATTGCGTATATTTTGCATTCGATCCGTTTAAGTCCTTTAATTTTAACGTTTCGGGCGTTTTAAACGAAAGCTTTTAGCGTTTGTAATTCCAAATAACCATTGCGCAAGTGCTAAAAGTTGGCGGTATTTTTTCGCGGTTTCGTAAAGTTCGAAAATGGACGTTACGTATGCGTAGCACGTTTGCGGCGTAAAAACTTTTTAATTGCAAAGGTTAAAACCGTATTTTTTAGGAAAAATTGTAACGTGGTTAATATAAAATAAATAGCAATAGGTTTGTATTTATAAAATATTACGTTATTTTTGCGCTAAAAGCGTTTAATTACTTTCCTGTTAGTAATTTTTTTAATGCGCAAAATTGCGTTTTTCCCGCAAAACCATACCCTTTTGGCGTTTAAACGGGCTTCCGAAATAATATTAATATAAAAGCTTTTTATTAAAGCAACGTTGTAAAGCTTAAGGTTTTCGCTTCCGTTTAAAAAGTTAAAAAGCGTACAAATGCTACGTTTTAAAATCGGAAGGTATTAAATGCCGTACTAAATCGTTTCGGTACCGTTTAATAATTGGAATAACCTTTTATCGAAACGCTTTTTATTGTTAACGATGTAAAGCGAATTGCAATTATCGAATAACGTGCTTTTAAAATAAGTATTTTTTATAATATTAAAAGCCGAAAAAACGCTTTAAAGCAAAGGCACCTTAAGTACGGCCGCGTTTAAATCCCTTTTTTTTTTAAAGTTTAAGGACCGGAACTTAACGCGCTTTCGGCTTGTTTTTCTTAAACGAAATTTTTAAATTTGCTTTTGGAAAGGAGGAACTTTTTAAATAATTTCCAACGGTTTTTTTTAAGAACTTTTTAATTTTTTTGCACTTTTCGTTGCTTGGTTTGTTGCAAAAGCGTTCGAAATTGCCGGTAAGTACGTAAACGAGCTTCCAGTAATTTTCCGGCTTTTAAAAATGGTTTTAAATACAAGCCGGGCATTTGTACGTTATTGCGTTATTTTGTTAAATGCTTTTAACTTTTTTATTTTTATTTTTAAATGCGCTTTTAAAAATTAAAAACGCAAGTTTTTTTTAGTGCTTAAATTATTAATGCGGTGTTAAAAAAGGATCGTTAAAAATTTGGTAACCAAAATATCCATTTTTTTTGTAAAGTTGCCCGTAGCTATTTTTTAACGGTAACGCTTTGCTTAAAAAGGGTTAAAGCGTTTTATATGCTTAAAAAAGTTAAGCATGGGCGTAAAGCTTTATACTTTAAAAAGGTTTTTAATTTTGGTTTAAATAAAAATCGTTTAAAATTTTAAAAATTATTGGTTAATATTTATGGTGCTAGCGGCTTTTTTAAGCGTGTTGCGGTATTTTTAAAAAATTATTTAAATTTTTATTATAAAAATGGGAGCGTAAAGCGTTTTAAGCAAATAATAATGTTACGGAAAGTAACGTAATTATTAATTTAAACTTTTAGCTGCGCGTTTGCAAGCGCAATAAGGTTTACAAAAAAGTTAATCCATTTGGAAAGGGTTATAATCTTTTTCGAAACGGTTTTGTTTGCGGTATTTTTTGCTTTAAGCGCTTTTTTATGCTTGGCTTTAAAATTACCTTTAATAAAAACCAAAAAGGCTTGGAAAAGCTTAGGATTAAATTTTTGCGTAGCTTTGCTTTTGCTTTGCTAAGCTTTTAAGCAAACCTTTTTTTTTCGGTCGAAAGGATTGTTTGCCAAATTAAGCGCTTGAATTTATAGTTTTTAACGTGTTTGGCCCGGGCTTTTGCTGCAAAAAAATTAAAATTTAAAATTTCGTTAGCTTATACGTCGTTCGGGAATTTTAAATTAGGGTTAACCTGGTTTTAAATTTTTAAAATTAATGCGTTTTAACGAAGCGCCGTGGATTACGTAAATTATTGCTTTTAATTTTTAAACAACGCTATTACGAAAAAATCGTTATTTGTATTACTTATAATTGGTAACAACCGGAAATTTGTAAAAATAAAACGGTAAAAAATAAAAAATTAAAAATTTTAAAAGCGTAAAAACGTAAAAATTAAAAAAATGGAATTTAATAAAGGTTTTTAGCAACGTTCGAAATTAATAACGAAATTTGCTTCGGTAAAAAAAATTTTATCGAAAAAGGTTTTGAAAGCGTAAAAATTTTTCCGTAAAAAAATTGCGAAAAGGAAAAAAAAAATAAACGCGCTTAAAAAAGCGCGTTTGGGAACGATTTAATAAAAGTAATAAAAAAAGAATAAATTCGTATTATTAAACCTTTTACTTTACGTTAAAGGGTTTAAAAATCGCCGGGCTTATAATTGTTGTAAGCAAAAAGGATAAGCACGGTATAAGGTTATTCCGGTTAATATGCTTTAAAAAGGAAAAGATTTAAAGTGCAAGGTCCCGTAAGGGCCTTTGCCCTTTATATATACGTAACTCCCTGTCCTTTTTGCTTACTAAGCTTCCCTCCTGACGCCTGGAAGCGTCATACGCTTCCAGGCAGGGGGACCGCTTTTCCGATGCCTTAAGCATTTGATATTTATGCTTAAGGCTTCCTCATGACAGTATATACTGTTTACTTTGTGACAAATAAGCTATTGTACATTTATCCTGAAGCTGAGCTAGTTGGATGAAGCGAACGCGCCCCCTGAGCCCTCCACTCATTCAACTCCTTCGGAAGGTTCTCCAATAGCTCGTAAATACCACTGTCTGACATGCACATATTTCTGGAAGGCGAGGACTAGCAGTGATTCACAATAAAGAGGATCATGTTGATGCCAAAGCTCTGGGCCTGGCCCGGCTTCCATTAAAAATGTTGCACCTTCCTGTCAGGAACGGATCGTCTAGACTTGAGAATGGGGCTGAGGAGGAATCTTTGTTATCTCCGGTGCAGAGAGATCTAGGCCTGGATGGACGCCATGATGTCGTTGGCCTTCTATCCATTCCATGAGGCAGGATCTGATCACTGTCAGAATATCTAGTGATTTCTATTTGAATCCTTCCCCAAGGCTTGCCCAGGCAAAGCTTCCTGACCGCCCCGAAGGCCTCTTCATGCGTGCCTTCCAAAGCCCTCCAAGTGCAGGGGGCCCGAGGTCAGACTACGTAATACCTACCTAGATGTAAGGGTGCCTTGAGGCTCAGGGTGGAGCCCCAGAGCCTCACGCGTCTTGCCACCTGCGAGCAACGACACTCCTCGGCGGCACCTGCCAGCCAGGCGGCTTCCTCTGACGTGGTCTGTGCTTGTTCTGCCCCCTCGCACAAGAATAGATATCACGCTTGTGCCCTACCTGCCTACTCACCTACCTACATACTCACACCTCCAACGTGAAGAGTCATCGCCTTCTTGCAAACAGCAAAGGGCAAGTAGCCCTAAGCACAGACCAAGTCATCGGTGACTTAATCCCAATTCCGCTGCTCTTCCTCGCCTACATTTTTCCACGAACTTCACCCACCCTTCCAACCAACAACAACGAGATCTCATCTTGACCAGAAACCAAGCTTCAACTCAACAAAGACCATCTTAGCTCGCAGTAAGCAATCTCCTCTTTTGCCTTCAACGACCAGCCTTTCGTCGCTTTGAAACTCGCCAAAGCAACGAGATCTCCTGCCCAGCCCCCTCATGCCCATCTGCCTCTCATACTACCCGTTATAAAAAATCCAGCAGTCCAAGCCATATCCTTCCCAGTTGCCACTTCGCACGTCGCTATATATCTCCCTGGGAGTCAAGGCTCCTCGAGAAAGCCCTGTCGTCCCTTGCCATTATCACCTTTGGTGGCCCCGAAGATTGGGCAAACCGCGCCGACTCGTGAGATAGATGTTCCCTTGCCTTCCTGCCTGCCTCTTCTCCTTCAATTTTCCAGTTCTTCGTCAGCACTGCCGATCCACCAGCCGTTTCTTTTCCATTTCATTTCTTGGCTGGAACAGATCAAACGCCTTGTTCAAGATGGACTAGGCCTGCCATTCTCTAAAAACACCCAATCTAGTTGGCTGACCGTCTCTCCAAGTAGCACAATGGGGCCTAATGAGAGGTCCGTACAATCCTCGGAGCCCGAGGATGTCATCGTCCTGGGCTGCCAAACGCCCGCTGAGCATCCCGCGATGCTAGCGAAGCCGCGCCGACGACGACGGGCTCGGAAGGGTCGGTGCTCGGCGCCGCCGCTTGGTCATGATGGCCAAGCACAGGCACAAGACCAAGACCAAGACCAAGCCCAAGGCCAGGGCTCGGGCCCCAGCGAGGGTGTGGGCGAGGGCGAGGCTGGGGTGAAGGGCCAAGCCCAAGACCCCAACTAAGCCTAAGCCTACACCCAAGCCCAGGGCCACTCCGAAGGCAGCCCGGTGCACAAGAAAAGAACCGAACCTGGGAGGGACGGCCGCCGATTGGCTGTCCCGACGTACAGGGCTTCTGTGAGTACTTCCTTCTCGTCCACCACCACGGTTTTCCAAACTGACCTTCTGGGGAGTAGATCGACGGTCTCGTCTGCGACACTCTCGGTCGAAAGACTGAGAGTGTCGTCGGAATCCATCGATGGCCCCGTCTGGGCCCGGGAGGGGGCGGGCAACCTTGAACGGAGTCGCGACATTTATGCATCACTCTGCTGCCTTGCCCGCTCGCCTGCCCGCTCGAGAAGGTTGGCGGAACGATCTATGAGCTGTGCAAAGATCAGCACGGCTGCCGATGGCTCTCTCAAGACTTATGGGCCCCCCAATTTTGAAACGTTAAAGGGGGGTCCCGGCTGCTCGCCGCACTCCTCGCCAGTGCTCCGGGTCTGAAGTTGGACTCGGGCTTGCGGTCAAGGGAAAGAAGAATCAGCTCAGCACTCTCGACGAATATCACCACCGAGCACTACTCCATCTGCAATGGCACCTTCCAACTTCAAGACGTACGAGGCGCAGCCCCGGCTGCTCGCTGCCGTTCTCGCCAATGCCCCAGGCTTGAGGTTAGACCCGAGCTTGCGACCAAGGGAAGGAAGAATCACGTCAGCAATGGGAGTGTCCCGCCACTAGCTTGGTCGTCGCGGTCATTGAAGTATGGTAATTTGGCTTGGCTTTCTTTGTTGCTTGTGGTCAAGTTTCTTTCGCGCTTCCGTCTGGCTTCCTCTGGTGTCTCGGCTAGGTCTCCTTTGGTGCTTTAGGCTTGCATTATTCGGTGCTCTTGGTGGGTGGACTCTATTTGGTGCTTTGGGTGGGCGGACTTCTGGCGCTTTGGGTTGGGTGGACTTCTAATTATTCCTTCTCCTTGCGTATCATCGCTGCGTACTCTCCTCGCGTCTTTAATAAAATTGGGCCAATGCAGTTTTGGACTGGCATCCTTCACTCCTGTTCAGAATTTCCCGTGTGAGATCGAGTCTTGATTGACATTCCTATCGCGCAACCTTCTTCTCTCACAGGCGTGAGCAAACGCTCCCAGCAGAGGCCTGTTGACCACTTGATGGGAAGCCTCATGCTTAGGCTAGGCCCGATACGGGGCGTCAGTGTTTGCAGTCGATGAATGATGGATATAAGAAAAGCAAACGAGCAAGACTCAACCCTGTAGAACATCTTTACTCAGCCTGTACAGGCAGGCTGAGCACACAACGGGAGGTACCAGAGAATATGACACTTTTTTAGTTAACATTATAGAATCTACTCCCCCTACAGTCACAGCATTGTGCCAGTGATTTCTCCTCTGATTCTCTCATAATTCCAATGGGAGACTCGGTGCGGGTGCCATCATATATGGGCTAGGCATTCCTGCGACCCTCAGGCGGCACCGGCACTTGCGACGGAGGGCCTGCAGCGCGGGTCCCGGCAGAATCAAGAGTTGCATCGCCAGCAAGGCTCTCGGCACCAGCACCTGTGCTGCTTTTTGGTGGCTGCTCGACAGCCGTCCATTTGATCCCAAAGGCGAGCAAGAAACCAGCTCCGGCGGCAGCAACAGGGACGAACTGTCCGAGTAAGAAATGGTGTGAGCAGAGCGCAGAGACAGCAGATGCGACCCGGGTCGTAAGCAAAAAGGGCTATAATGGTGCGCTGATTGTGTCTCGAGTAGTCAGTGGGAAGGAATGCGCAGAACCTACAAATACTCTGGTGATGGCGGCATTGTATGCTTCCAAGATATGGTCCAGGAGCTGCGGGAAATTTGCAGCCGTCACCTCGCGCATATGAGCAAGGCCCGCTGACAACAGCAGGCTGCGCTGCAACGGCGAGAGGCCAAGCTCGGCATGCATGAGCTGCGAGCTGAGCTCACTGGTGAAGACGGTGCCGGCCACGACCTGGAGAATCGAGGCGCCGAGGTACTGAACAAAGATCACCAGAGCAATACCGACGGGCAGGAGCTCGGGGCTATCTTTGAGCTCAAGCTGGACGGCCAGCGAGCTCATCTGCATCCCGAAGCCGGCGCTGAACCCCTGAATGACCTGGTATCCGATCCATTGACTTGGGGGCGTGGAGAAAGCCGTGAATGTGGTGTACAGCGCGCTGGATATACAGAGAAATACTGCGGACAAGAAAAACCAAGGGTTATAGTACCGCATTCTCCTTGCTAGGGATGGAACGAGAACAAGGTGGTTAGTCGAGCGGCTGCCTGCAGGAGGTGAGCGACGTTGACAATCCCTTATTCGATAGGACCTTACCCAATCCGCTTGCTATGATGGTGGTGACTATTTGTGTGAGGACGGTCGGCAGCATGCGAATGCCGCTATCGAGCGGATTAACGCCCTGGACGGCCTGGAACCAGGCCGGGAGGTAGTAGGACGCAATGGTAAGGGCGCCCATCTGGGTCGAGGCAAAGAGACAAGCGAAGGCGACTGTCCTACGCCCTACCACGCTACCCGGTATCATGGCATCGGCAGCTCTCGACCATTCCCAGCCGACAAAGACAAGGAGGGTGACGCCCGCGCCGACAAAGAGGCCGATAATGGTCGGATCGCTCCATGATCTGCGATCTGCACCCCACTCCAGGGCAAGAAGCAACATAAAGACGCTTGGGACAAAGAGGAAACAGCCAACCAAGTCGAGGCTTTTGATGCGGCCGCCCACGCTGCTGCTAGTACGGCCTTGTGGAGGACGGAAGAAGGTTGACACCACGGTGATGGTGAGGAGGTTGAACGGTATGTTGATCCAGAAGCACCATCTCCATGTCAAGCGGGCGGTGAACCTAGCCATAGTAAAGGTAAGTCAGCACCAGGAAACAGGGCAAGGAGAAGTGACAAGAGCGAAGAGATAGAAAGGGAAACGCAGAAGCGACTCTCACGCTCCGCCAAGCAAAGGAGCAACCACCAGGCCGAGCGCGAAGCACGCGGCGCCGGCCCCCATCAGGGCGGGCTTGCGGCCGGCGGGCGCGATGGTGACGAGGATGGTGAGCCCGTTGCTGGAGACGCCGGCGGCGCCGACGCCCGCGACGGCACGCCCGGCGATGAAGGCGGTGCTGTTGGGGGCACAGCCGCAGAGGATGCTGCCGGCGAGGAAGATGCAGGTGAAGGAGCTGTAGACGAGGTCGAGGGGGAAGACGGCGGCCATCTTGCCGGCCACGGGCGTCAGGGCGCAGGTCGCGAGGGTGAAGGCGGCCGGGTACCAGGCGATCTGGGTGGTGTCGCCAAAGTCGGACATGATGGAGGGGAGAGCCTGTGGGCCGGGCCGTCAGCTCTGCTCTGCCTGGTGCTGCTGAAAGACCGGTTCTGGCGGGTTGAGACCACTGACGGTGCCTATGATGGCGATGTCTAGGGACATCATCAGCGCTCCGAAGCAGACGCCCACCGCGACGGCAACGAGACGGAACCCTCGGAGCGTGGGGTCATGATGATTGGCGTTGGTGTTGGCCACTGGGCCTGATTCTTGGTCCGACGTTGGTGGTGCTTGGGCTGGAGACGGTCCATCGTGAATCTGCGGCACTCGTGTTTCTTGGTGTTCCTTTTCTTTGTCCCGCGTGGAGGTAGTGGTGGCGTTGGTCGGATTATCCATTGTGCCTGGAGCTAGACGGCACAGACGTGCTTGGCAGGTGAAGATGTGAGGATGGGTGTTCGTCGTGCACTAGTTGTGCCACCAATGTCGGCGGCGCATTTGTCGCCATCGGATTGCGAAAATGGGAGCACAAGACCTGAACCGTCTCCCAGTACGAGAAACGAACAACAACCCTAGAACAGTGTAGCACAAAGGATTCTGCAAAGCACGTTTGAACCACCAATTACGGACTAGGCCACCTGCAGTGAGCTGAAGCTGCAGGAGACACCAAATAGGGTGCGACAGATGTCATGTCATCCCATGACCCCGCACAACGCAGCTCTCCATGCATGGACTTGGATTGGATGATGCGCTATGGCTCGGGAACGACAGGAGGTCGGCCCCAGGAAGCTTGAATTAAGCATACGCGTGGGGAGATGTGCCGAATTCAGCGAGAGAGGTGGATCGGACTCCCATGCAGCATCAAATCAAACCATTGATCCATTGCACTTCACAAAGAGCCAAGCCCGGGTAGCGCGCCACCGCGCCTGCAGAAACCCCCGAATTCGGCCTGGACAGAAAAGGGCCATTCTACGCTAGGGATAGTCGGATTGAAATTCGGACGCCGTTTGATGAATTGGCCTCTCGAGTTGGCAGGTGGACGGCATGGCAGGCCGCTACGAGAAGCCAAGCGCAACTGACGTGCGCACGTGCTGCTCCAGACAGGGGTCATCTGCCGCCAGGCGTCCTCGGCTTGCGCACCCCCATGGCAACCGTATCGCCAGAGCTCCGATAAGAAGCCGCCCGACTCAGTCTCGAGACGCTGCCGTCGGCTCTCCCCCTCACCGTGACACGCCGACAGGTGTCCTGTATAACCGATAAGTTGGCCTGGTCTGCTGCTTTGCCTCCCGTCCTCCCCCTTCTTTTTTCTCCCCATCTCCCTCCCACCTATCAACGACACCAGAGACAGCAACCCACCCAGCCCGCCAGAACGGCCCGGCGATGACGAAGCACACCCCCGACTACCTGCGAGCTCGCGCGTCCAACCTCTCGCTCCGCTCCGCCGCCCTCGCCTCGTCCTCCGCCTCACTGGCCGCGCCCGTCGCCGCCATGCCGTCCCCATCCGCCGCCGCCCGCGCCCAGCCGGCCAAGGCCGTGAGCGACGAGGCTAGGTACCTGATCGCGGGCGATCTGATGAACGAGGTGGCGCGCCGCGCCCTGCGCGCTTGCATCCGCTGCGCCGTGCAACTGCCCTACGGTGTCGACCACATCGTCCAGGCCCCCGAGTGCCCCGTCTGCGCCGTGCGCGACTGCCGCCCCGAGGTCTTCACCAAGCCCTTCTGCGACTTCTTGACGGGGAGCCCGACCGTCTTCCACGCCGTCGACTACTTCAAGGCCAAGCTAGACGAGGCCGGTTACAAGGAGGTGAGGCGGAGGACCAACAAGCGGGGAGAAACCCCTTCGTATCCCCTGAGCCAGCCCAAGCTGACATCACATCTGATCGCCCACCCCGACAGCTCCCCGCACGCGACGACTGGACCGGCAAGGTCAAGGCCGGCGGCCAGTACTACGTGACGCGCAACGGCAGCTCCCTGATCGCCTTCGCGGTCGGGCAGGCCTACAAGCCCGGCAACGGCGTGGCCATGATCGCGGGCCACATCGACGCGCTGACGGCGCGGCTCAAGCCCGTGAGCAGCAAGCCAAACAAGGCCGGCTACGTGCAGCTCGGCGTCGCCCCCTACGCCGGCTCGCTCAACCAGACGTGGTGGGACCGCGACCTGAGCATCGGCGGCCGTGTCGTCGTGCGCGACGAGGAGACGGGCAAGACGGCCGTGAGGCTCGTCAAGGTCGACTGGCCGAGTACGTCCGCTTCCCCTCCCTCCCTACCCAAGTAACCCATTCGCCTGCGCGGGTTGAACTAACACAAACGCCGTGGTGAAACAGTCGCTCGTGTCCCGACGCTAGCTCCCCACTTCGGCGTCGGCATGATGGGCACCGGCAACAAGGAGACGCAGGCCGTCCCCATCATCGGCCTCGACAACTCGGACCTCTTCTCGGCGCCGGGCGCCGCTGCCGGCGCAGACGAGACGAAGCCCTACCTTGGCGGCGGGCCGGCCGGCTCCTTCGCCGCGTCGCAGCCGCCCAAGCTCGTCAAGCTCATCACGTCGCAGCTGGGGCTAAAGTCGGCCGCGTCCATCGTCAACTGGGAGCTGGAGCTGTTCGACATCCAGCCAGCCGCCGTGGGCGGGCTAGACAAGGAGTTCATCTTCGCCGGCCGCATCGACGACAAGCTCTGCTCGTGGGCCGCCTTCGAGGCGCTGCTGTGCGCGACGGACCACCAGGACGAGGGCGTCGTCAAGCTCGTCGCGCTCTTCGACGACGAGGAGATCGGGTCGCTGCTGCGCCAGGGCGCAAAGGGCAACTTTTTGCCGTCGGTCGTCGAGCGCGCCGTCGAGGCCCTCTGCGGGTCCTCGACGACGACGACGACGACGACGACGCCCTTCGGCCCCGGCGTCGTCGGCCGGACGTACGCGTCCTCGTTCCTCGTCAGCGCCGACGTGACGCACGCCGTGCACCCAAACTTCCTCTCGAGCTACCTGGACGGGCACGCGCCGCGGCTGAACGTGGGCGTGGCCGTGTGCGCCGACTCAAACGGCCACATGACGACCGACTCGGTCTCGACGGCCATCCTGGACCGCGTCGCCGAGCTGTCGGGCTGCGTCAACCAGACCTTCATGATCCGCAACGACTCCCGCTCCGGCGGCACCGTCGGGCCCTCGCTCAGCTCCGCCATGGGCGTGCGCAGCGCCGACGCCGGCCTGCCGCAGCTGAGCATGCACTCGATCCGCGCCACCACGGGCGCCCTCGACCCGGGCCTGGGCGTCAAGTTCTTCAAGGCCTTCCTGGACAAGTTCGAGAAGGTCGACGCCGAGTGGCACTGAGGGGACGGGCCGGTGCGTTTGATGTACTAGAATAGATGGGTTGGCAGGCATACACGAGCGTTAGAGGATACGTCGATGCATTTCCGGGGTTTCTTCCATACTATACTGTTCCCGCGTGTGAATTCACACCCCATACCGTCGTCTAGAATGTTTGCTTTACGGTGCATAGTAATACAATCGCGTCCTTCGGGGTTATGATACATAAATGCATCGCTTCCACCTTGCCCTTGTATATCTTGTACTTGTCTCGCTTGAAACGCCGTGGGACAGACGGCCATGCCAAACTGATCTTGGCAGAGATTAAATACACATACACTGGTAAAAGGGTCCCTGTCTCATTCTCTCACCCTATACCCCTGAACAGGGGCCATGCTTATAATCACGTGAGGCGCCGCCATTGTCATATGACAGACTGATGAGTTACTCGTTTCTCTATGCTTGTGCATCTCCCTTGTATGTACAGACACCTTAATTCTAACTAGCATTTTAGGCCCTGGCCGCAACCTTGGGCTCCCAAGCCGTGAGCTTCGGCTGGGTGCTGGAGGCGAGAAAACAAGTCAGTAAATACACATCTACCGCAGCATGAGCGGCAAAGGGTCTAATCTGCGGCCAGGTTTCTCCCATTGAGCCCAAAGAATAATATGCTGACAGGCTCCTGGACAAATTAGTGAAAAAGGGCCGGAACTCACGTGCTGTACGTTTTGAAGGCGCCCCGAGTGGCAGTGTAGTTTAGAATGGGTTTGGAGCTCGCCCAGGGCCTGTCGGCAGCTTGCTTGAACAGCGGGTCTTTGATTGGCGGTGTGTCCACCGAGTACGAGATCCAGGCGTGCCAGTGCGGCTCGATGCTGCCGCTGCTCAGGGGAAATAATGCACTGTTAGCCACCAACACCCATTGACCTCGCGGGGCTACAGCGAAATGAGATGGAAGCCGAAGTGTCAGGGGACGTACGGATCAAAGTCGTGGGCCTTGTAGTTGACCCATCTAGTCCGAACTGTAGGCGTCAATCCAATATGTCAGCCTGGTATCATTGCCATGGCAATAACCCCGCGGTCGAGGCATCCTCGGTCCTTAGTATTCGTCGGGGAGCGGAAAGCACGTACGGGGCAGCTCCTCCTCCATGTTCTCGTAGAACTTGTTACCGAACCTGTCGGTGCCGATTAGGGTGCCGGCCTTGGTGTCGCCTGTTTTCCACACGCCGGTCGTCAGTCGCCGCCATCTATCGTAGATCTCGCCGCCGCCCGCCCGTCTTGTCCTTCCTCATGTCTGCCTCTGGGTCGAGATCGCGTACCGATGTACTATACAGGCCGCGCGCGCAAACAGTCAGCATTTCCACCAGGCCTCCAATCAATAGCAACGGCGGGGTTGGAGACGTACGTTCAGTTGGTGCCAGTATTCCTAGAATTCCTCAGGTTCAATTGTCAGCTTCGCTTCCAGCGCCAAGGGGTTTGAGGCAAGGACTCGCGATGCGCACCTTGAACCCGATGCGGCGCAGATAGCCGAGAGTCCTCGTGATGGTCGACATGGTGGGCGGTCGCGTGGCCAATGGACCGTCATTCAACAGCAAGGCCTCGATGGTGGTTTGGAAAAGCCGAATTGAAGTTGACCCAAGTGACGCAGCCGCGGAATCACGTTTGGTGGAGCTGGCAAACTCCGAGCCAATGACGAGCTTGACAGGGCTACACATCCCCTAACCCTGGCTTTTGAGGCTTTGGAAACTTCTAAACTTGGAACAAACTCTCCGTTTGAGTTGACAGCAGCTCGACGAACAACCACGTCAGCGGTGTCGCGGCGATGATAGTCAGAGGGCTTTCGCGCTGCGGACTCGGGCGTCCACGCGCTACCCCTCGCGCTCCCAACAGCCCACTCGCCGGACGTGCGCAGTGCCGACGCTACACTACCTCCTCAACTGCACCGACAGCAGGCGGCCCGCAAGCATCAAGCGCCGCCATGCTCGCGCCATTCGTCGAGGAGCTGGACAGGCTAGCCCCTTCGTTCAAGATACACGGGTCTCGCATCCGCATAATACAGACACCCACCGACTTCTACGAGACGCTCAAGGTGCGATGCCGCTGGCGTGTGCGACGGGGGAGGGAGAGGGGCAGAGGAGGTCGGAGCTGACCCCTGGCGGGGAGGTCCTACTAGGACAAAATCAGGCACGCCGAGCGGAGGATATTTCTCTCTACGCTCTACATTGGCAAGTCGGAGAAGGACCTCGTAAGCAGCCCCTATTTCTACGCAATCTCCTCATTTGTCCTTGTCCTGACAGCGACGGTGCCGGCAGATCGCGACGCTCCAGGATGCACTCCGCGCGAAACCCGACCTTAAGCTCAGCATTCTCACCGATGCCCTGCGCGGCACCCGAGAGAGTCCCGATGCGTGCTCGGCGTCGCTCCTGGCGCCGCTCGTTTCCGAGTTCGGCCCGGAGCGGGTCGAGATCCGCATGTACCACACGCCGAACCTGACTGGGATGCGCAAGAAGCACATACCCCGCCGAATCAACGAGGGCTGGGGCCTGCAGCACATGAAGCTATACGGGTTTGACGACGAGATCATACTGTCGGGGTAGGTGAAGACGGCAGGACCCGGGTGCGGATCTTGAAGCATGTCTGGAAAGACTGACATGTGTGGATGACGTAACACAGGGCGAACCTCTCGACAGACTACTTCACCAACCGTCAGGATAGATATCACATGTTCTCCTCGAGCGACATTACGTCGTACTTTTGGGGGCTACAGAAAGCCGTTTGCTCACTCAGTTTCCTTGTTCGCCCATCGTCCGAGTCGGCCTCGGGCTTTGAGCTAGACTGGCCCACGTCTAACGAGGCGCCATCGCCACTGGAGAATCCAAAACAGTTTGTGGCAGATTCTACCAGACTGCTACGGGACCTTATCTCGGCCAGACCGCAGTCGCGGATCGGCGGGAGCAGCGGTGTACCAAACAATGGCCTGGCAGACATGACACAAGCACAGAGACAGGTTATGCCGCCATCGCACGGCGCAGGGGAGGCCCCAGACACGTCTGTGTACGTGCTCGCGCAAATGTCGCAGCTCCTGCGGCCCGACACCTCGACGGAGCAGGCGGCCCTAACACACGTCCTGTCCACGCTCGCATCGTCGCCGGCGGGGCTAGCCACGGGCTCGTCTTGGACCTTCACGGCGGGCTACTTCAACCCCGCGCCGTCGCTGACACGGCTGCTGCTGTCAACCGTGCCGGCCGGCAGCCGCGGCACCGTAATCACGGCGTCCCCCTACGCGAACGGCTTTTACCGCTCCCGTGGAGTCTCGGGCATGCTCCCGGACGCCTACAGCCTCCTGGCCCGCCGCTTTCTCGACGCCGTGGAGCGGCAGCGACGGGGGGTGGTCGAGAAGGGCGGCAGCAGCGACGGCGACGAGGTCCCGACCGTAACGCTCAAGGAGTGGCGGCGCGGCACGTCGGGCGAGCCGGGCGGGTGGACTTACCACGCCAAGGGGCTGTGGGTGACGCTGGGCGGCGACGGGGCGACGGGGCCGTCGCTCGCCGTCATCGGCAGCTCCAACTACACCAAGCGGAGCTACTCGCTGGACCTGGAAGCCAATGCGCTCGTCGTGACCACCAACGAGGGCCTGCGGCGGCGGCTCGCCGAGGAGCAGGCGTGGCTGCAGGAGCACGCGGCGCCGGTGGGCTTGGACGACTTTGCCAAAACGGAGCGCCGGGTCGGGCTCAAGGTGCGGATTGCCATGTGGATTGTGAAGATGGTGGGCGGACAGCTGTGAATGCATGTCTAGGACACGGATGAGAGGCTGTCTTGGACGACGCAGTGCACAAAAGCAAGCCGTGCTTTGGTACCTTGACGTACCCCAACCAAAATGATACCCCTTCCAGACATTAGACAGGGCGAGCCCGGGTCCAATGGCTGCACCGTTATTTGGCAATTGTTGACAAACTTTTATGCGGCTTGACCACAATCAGTGGAGAACAACAGCCCGAAGCAGCCAGGGTCAATTTGGATCTGGTGCCTGATCTGATTGGCGCGGCGGCTAGGGCGCTTTTTCTTTCTGGTTAGGGAAATTGGGAATGCGGGAGACGGGGAGAAGTGGAGCCGCCCTGAGCGCCAGGCACCTCGGCTGCGTTCCCCTTGAAAAGTGAGCGGCGGCCGCATCGGTCAATTGACATGGTCTCGATGCGGTTCCTTTTTGTGCCGTTGACGTCTCGTCAGCTCCTTTTTCTGTCGCATCTGAGCCTGAGCCTGCACTTTGGCACGGCTCTCGCGTCCTTCCCCACTTTTGAGAGCAGACATTGATCTTTTGAAGCTGCAACGACCGAACCTGCCCGAAAGCGCCGTCCGGCTTAGTTGCTTTTTAACGGCTGCACAACAAACGGCCCTTTTCTGCACGTCAGGCGGCAGATCTTGGCCAGTCCTGTCAATCACGACCACGACAACGGATCGACAGCCCGAGACCTCGATTCAACCACGCCCCAGCGGCGGGATGTGCCGTTGCTGAATCGCGCACAGGAGGCTTCAATACACCCGTCAGGAACATTGGGGCTGAGTGCCGAGGGTTGACGTCATGAAGTTTGCTAAAGAGCTGGAGCAGGAGCTGGTGCCGGGTAAATCATACTTCAGCCGAATATCTGATGGGTGTTTTGTTGGGCCAACAGCTAATCGCCATGGACCGCCGCAGAGTGGAGGATCAAGTATCTCAACTACAAGGGCGGCAAGAAATATATCAAGGCTGTGAGGACGGCGGTGCGCAAGGCTAACACCACGCCCACGCTTCAACGCCGCTCAGGCGACCTGCCACCGCATGCCACCCCGCGCTTCGCCCGCAGGCCCACCTTCAGCGGCACCGACGCCAGCGGCCGCACGCCGGGCCTGGAGCGGACGCAGTCGGCCGCCCTCAGGCGCGTCAGCACCACCCCGGCGTCACGTGCTGCCACCCAGCCCCATGGCTCGTCGACGATAGCCGCTCAGCCCATCCCGGGACGCAAAGGCGAGAGCCAGCGGCTGGCGGACTCGCCGGGGCACGACCTGCAGTATGGAAGCTTCGTCGCCACCCCGCCCAGCGCCGGGGCCGTTGGAGGGCCCGTAGCCATCGACTTTCAGCTCCCCGGGCCCGCCATGGAGAGGATTCCGTCCTATCTGCAGCACGAACCATCGGCTCACACAACGCCCGGACTCCGGAATCCCTTCAGCCGAGCGGCTTCGAATGGCCCAAAGGGCCTGGGCGTAATCCACTCGGCTGCCCAGTCCAGCACCCACTCGCCTGTCAACGGGAGCCCGACCCAGTCGCATCCCCCGGCCACTCAAGGCAACGGCAGGCACGCGCTGTTTCTCGAGACGAATGACGGCGACGGCTCGCCGATAGCAGGCCCCTCCGGGACGCCTAAGCAGCGGCTCAAGAGGCTCTTCTCACACCCCTCACCCATGGTGGGACGCAGGCCAACTCTGAGGCCTGGCACCGTCAACACCAACCAGGACGAGATCCGGCAGCGCGAGAGCGACTTCTTCACGTTCCTGGACAGCGAGCTGGACAAGGTCGAGACCTTTTACCGGGAAAAGGAGGACCAGGCGGCCCGGAGGCTGATCACGCTGCGCGAGCAGCTGCACGTTATGCGCAACAGGCGCACGCAGGAGCTGGCCGACGCGAGGCTGCAGCGGCGCGAGACGGCCCTTGGGCACGAGCACGGCAACGGCAATGGCAACGGCAACGGCAACGGCAACGGCAACGGCGGTGGCGGTGGCGGGGGCGACTCGGCCGAAAACAGCAACGGCAAGGGCGGCGGCAGCGCCAAGACCTCGTCGCGCAACGACTGGATGGGCCCGGCGGCGCGGGCCAAGCTCTTCTCGCGCCGGCCCGGCCCAAACTCCAAGGCGCTGCAGCAGATGCCACAGACGCCGCACCTCAAGGGGGCCGCCGTGGCGGCGGCGGACGGGCGGCGCGACTACGCGCGGCGGCCGGCGGCGGACCAGGACGTGCCGTACCGCACGGCCAAGCGCAAGCTCAAGCTGGCGCTGCAGGAGTTCTACCGCGGGCTGGAGCTGCTCAAGGCCTACGCCATGCTCAACCGGACCGCGTTCCGCAAGCTCAACAAGAAGTACGACAAGGCCGTCAACGCGCGCCCGCAGTACCGCTACATGTACGAGCGCGTGGCGCCGTCCTACTTTGTGCGTAGCACCCTGCTCGACGACCACATCGCCGCCGTCGAGGACCTGTACGCGCGCTACTTTGAGCGCGGGAACCACAAGCTCGCCGCGGGCAAGCTGCGCAGCCTCAGCCGCAAGGCCGGCGACGAGTCCGGGAGCTCGTTCCGCAGCGGCCTACTCATCGGCGTCGGGGCCGTCTTCACCGTCCAGGGCCTCACCTACGGCTCGGAGCGCCTGTTCAACGAGGACCCGAGCGTGGCCCGGGAGGCGAGCTACCTGATGCAGGTCTACGGCGGCTACTTTTTGATGCTCTACCTCTTCGTCCTCTTCTGCCTCGACTGTCGCCTCTGGACGCGCAACAAAATCAATTACCAGTTCATCTTCGAGCTCGACCCGCGCTCGCAGCTCGACTGGCGCCAGCTGTCCCAATTCCCCGCCTTCTTCCTGCTGGTCTTTGGCGTCCTGTTCTGGATCAACTTCTCGCGCCTGGGCTCGGACGACATGTACCTCTACTTCCCCGTCGTGCTCATCGGCGTCACCCTCCTGATCCTTTTCTTCCCGGCCCCCGTCTTCTTCTACCGCAGCCGCCGCTGGTTCCTCTACTCGCACTGGCGCCTCCTGCTGGCGGGCCTGTACCCCGTCGAGTTCCGCGACTTCTTCCTGGGCGACATCTACTGCTCGTTGACGTACGCCATGTGCAACATCGAGCTCTTCTTCTGCCTGTACCGCAACGCGTGGCTAGACCCGGAGCAGTGCAACTCGAGCCACTCGCGCCTGCTGGGGTTCCTGTCGGCCCTGCCCCCCATCTGGCGCTTCCTGCAGTGTATTCGGCGTTACCACGATACTGGGAACGTGTTCCCTCACCTTGTAAACTGTGGCAAGTATCTGATGAGCATCATTGCGGCCATGTGTCTCAGTCTGTACCGAATCGACGGCACGCGAACCAACCTCGCTCTTTTCATCACGTTTTCAACCATCAACGGCATCTACACGTGTAAGTCTAGGCATTGTCTCGCATACTCTCCACTCAAGTCATTCACCTTGGACCGCTGACCCTTCATCCCCCCCGCCTCCCGCAGCCATATGGGACATCTTCATGGACTTCTCGCTCCTCCAGCCTTCGCCACACAACTTTCTCCTTCGCGACATAACGGGTCTGAAGAGCAAGTGGCCCTATTACGGCATCATGGTCGCGGACCCGATCCTGCGCTTCATCTGGATCTTCTACGCCATATTCACGCACGACGCCCAGCACAGCACCATCATGTCCTTCATGGTGGCCTTTGCCGAGGTGACGCGCCGGGGCATGTGGACCATCTTCCGCGTCGAGAACGAGCACTGCTCAAACGTGGCCCAGTACAAGGCCAGCCGCGACGTGCCGCTGCCCTACCGCCTCGGAGACGACGAGACCCAAAAGCAGCAGCAGCAGCAGCAGCCGCCCAGCACGCCCGCCGGGCCGGACCGCGACGACCAGCGCGGCCTTTTGGACAGGGACGATGGCAGCCCCGGCGCCACGACGGCCACTGGGGCGCGGACGCCCGCGTCCGCGCCGGCGACGGCTACTGGCGTCAATATGGGAGGCCTCGGCATCGGCGGTGGGAAGCAGGGCGAGGCGCCACAGACGGGCGCCCGGACCCCGGGACCCACCAGCCAGGGCCAGCAGCAGAAGGAAAAGCAGAAGCAGAAGCAGGAAGCCTCCCCACCAGCGGCGGCGGCGGCGACCCCCGCCGACGCAGAAGAGGGCCGCGCAGGCGGCGAGGCGGCCGCCGCCACGACGGAGGCCCAGGCGGACGGCGGTGGCGCCGGCGTGGCGACGGGGATCCGGCGCCGGCTGACGCGGTCCGGCACGCTGGTCGGCGGCCTGTCGCGCATCCTGGCCGAGGCGCACAAGCAGGACTTTGAGAAGAAGCGCCGGCCCGCCGCGTCGTCGCCCGGCGCGGCCATCCCGGACGAGGAGGACGACGACGACGACGAGGACGACGAGGACGAGGTGCGGTACCGCAACCTGCACTCGGGGCGCGCGCCCGACGACACGGACGAGGAGGGGGAGGACGATGACGAGGATGATGATGCGGGCTGCTTTAGCAACGACGAGGCCGAGGACGAGCATGAGTACCGGGGCGGCGGCGGCGGTGGTGATCCTTCCCCTGCGGCGGGCGCGTCGGCTCCGGTCTCGGCGCCTGGCGTCGAGATGGAGCTGCAGGAGCAGGGCGCGGGCGGCAGGAAGTCGTAGTTTCGCAGGCGAGACTGATATGTCATTTTCGCCTGCATCACTTCCCTTTTATTTTCATTTCATTTTGTTTTTATTGTTGTTTGTTTCATCTGTTTTACTCCCCAGAGCAACATTTCACCGCATTTAGAACTGACACGCAGGCGAGAGGCAACAGTGTATTCGGGGCGCGACCATGGACAGGGTTTTTGCGATGATTAAAACATGTCAGAGACTGGCTGAGATAGAGGTGCATTTAGTGGCTAATATAATGCGATGGCTTCTTTGTTTTCTCTACATCTGAACCACGGGGCTGACGGCTGTGCGCAAAGCCATCTCGATTAGCGTGTCACCGGGCTGTGTGACCAGTTTGCCCACGTGGATGTGAGGCCATGTCCCGCCCCTGTTCCTGCACGCACCCACCCTAGCCTGGGACGTGGGTGTACCCTGTCGCCCTGTCGCCTCCCGTGGCTTGGTAGCGGCTCAATTTATTCATAGCCGTTCTTAGCGCATTCAACCTAAATTTCACCACCATTGTATTCTGTGATGAACTGTAGATTTGCCTTGCCCGCCTGCTGACTCCGAGGATAAAGCAACCGCCCTTTTCCTCCCAAGGTCCATAAGAGCGCTTGGTGGAGAGAAACCCGATACTCGCAGCCAACACAGACTCGCGGCGCCATTTTCGTTTGTAGCACACCGAGGCACCAAAAACTCGTCACTACATAGCCAAATAACCCCACATCCCCTACTCCATCGGCACGACGATGCTGTCGACGTCGGGCCCCCACAGCCCGCCGCCGACGCCGCCGACAACAATGGTATTGCCGCTGCCGGCGCGCAGCTGCACGTGCAGCGTGCTGCTCGACACGCCGCCCCTCGTCGGCTCAAAGGCGACGCGCACGGGCGGGGCGCCGTTGACCGACACGCCGGCGTAGCGCGGGTTGCTGTCGCCGTTGAGGAAGCGGATGCGCACCGTCGACAGCGCGTCGCGGCCGCTGCTGCGGACGCCCGAGAAGGTCACGGTGCCGTTGTTGCTGCCGCCGTCGCCGCCCAGGTAGCCGGCCGACGTGCCGCCCGAGCAGGCGCCGCACGCCACCTGCCGCGCCCCGCCCGCCAGCTGGCCCGCCTCGCCCTCGTAGACCGTCTCGGCGGGCGCGGCGGCCCACGACGGCGACGCGCCGGCGCCGTCGGCGTTGGGCACCCACGACCCGGGCATGTTCTTCATGGAGACGCCGCCGGCGCCGTCGAGGCGCAGCGGCAGCCAGATGTAGGTGCTGGACTGCAGGTTGGACGAGACCCAGCGGTCGCCCAGGTACATGACGTTGGTGGAGCCGTCGGCGCCGCCGTAGGGGAGGACAAAGGTGGTCTGCGACGCGTACGTGTTGCTGCCGACGTCGGCAAATGTCTTCCATGCGCTCCAGGGGCCCGAGACCGACGTCGCGGTGCTGTAGACGTTGTCGTTGGGGTCCCAGCCCGTCAGGTGCGAGCCGAACATGTAGTAGCGCCCGGACAGCTTGACCATGGCGGGGGACTCGATGCGCTCGTTCCAGCGGTAGGTCGAGCTGCTGCCTGCGACGGCGAGGTAGTCGTCTGTGAGGCGGTTGATGCGGAGGCCATTTTCGCGCTGCGGAGAGGGGGGGCGCGAGTGGATCGGTAGATATCAGTAACGCGGCCTTGTGGAAGAGGTAGGGCAAGGAGCACTGCGAACTGGGCAGTTCTCGGTCTCTTACATCTTCGGTGAGGAGGTAGGCCGTCCCGTTGTCGTCCTTGAAAAGGCCGCTGTCGCGGCTCTGGAAGCCAAGGGGCCTGCTGCTGCCCAGGTACGCTGAGTCCGGGCGACAACACATCGGTCAGTGCTCTGTTGTCCGCGCGGCCAAGACGAAACGAGAGGAGCGTCACGGCACGACTCACTGTACTTCCCGCAGACTGAGTCCCCGACGGCGACGCCGGCCCTGGCGTCCTTGTAGTCGGAGCTGTCGATGTGCATCCACATGACGTACTTGCGCGTGCGGTCGTTGTAGATGACCTTTGGCCGCTCCAGGACGCGGTTCGGGCCGAGGTCGCCGGCGGCGGCGGTGCGCGACAGCAGCGCGCCCTCGTACCGCCAGCGCACGAGGTCGCGGCTCGAGTAGCAGTTGACGTTCTGGAAGGCGCTGCCGCCCGTCTTGTCCTCGCCCACCATGTACCACGTGTCGCCGACCTTGAGCACGCCCGCGCCGTGCGCCTGCACGTGCTCGCCGTTGTCCTGCGCGTGGATGGGGGCCAGTTAGACGGTGTGCTGGGGGGAGGTGAAGTATGTAGGGTGCCTAGATGCCTGGGTGGGTAGGTAGGGCACTTACCGCGGTCCAGGTACCGCCGGGCACGATCTGAAGGGAAGCGTGGGCGCCCGAGAGCGCAGCCGCGAGGAGGGCCACGCTCAGTAGAGAGCGACGACGCAGCGAGGCGAGCATGTTTGCTGCGGCTTGGCAGCTTGCTGTTGCTATAACCTCAGACACCAAGAGATTTCTGCTCCGAGGACAGACGCAGCGTCGACAGCCAGAAAACTGAGTGAGGCCCGACCAAGGCGCGCAGAAGCGAAGAGGGGTGGGGGTGGGCGGGTAAAATAACAAGACGGTCTGCCTCTCCCTCACACCCGCAGCGCGTATACGTATCTCGGCATATGATGCGCCGGGCCAAGTAGCATCGGGTGGAGGATGTGGTATTTGCCAGTTCCGTCCATGCTACGACGCGGTCCGGTTAGCGGTGTTCCCCGCATTGATGCTATGGGCTGGGGTGTTGCATTTCGTATCGTTGCGTTTGTCCCCGCTCTCGGCTCGTCTTGACCTCTCTGGCTCAGTACATGCTTGGGTGCCCAGGTACCCAGGCACGTTGCCCGGAAAAAAGTCTGGACCGCAATTTATTCCCCACCACCACAAAAAAAGGAGCCCATTCAATCTAGAGTCATTTTGCCCTTTGCATCTATAATCCGGCAAAGTGAAAAACGTTATTGTGATTATAAGTAATGCATTTTGCATCGAAATAATTACAAATCCTTTGAACGCGTTTTTTTTTTTAGGTGTAGAGTGGTGCGCGGGCATGTTGTTTGGCTTTGGTGCTGGTGCAATTGTATTGGGAAAGGTAGAGTTTGGATGGGGAAAAAAAAATTGCGGTCCAGACTATTTTCCGGGCACCGTGCCAGGTACACAGGTGCCCACCCTCTCCATCCATAATTCTCTCCAGGACTTCTGGTGTTCGGCCAATATTAGCATTGATCCGAGCTTGCGAGCGTTTGTTCCAACCGTCCTCCGCCAGACCCTGTTGAGGGTGGTGGTGGCGTCGGTGGGAAAAAAGATCTGCAGTCTAGAAGTCTGGGCCTTATTTTTGGCTAGGGTGCCTGCATGCAGGTATGTGCCACCTGGCTGGCTCCGCCCCCCACCGCTCACCTCCTCCACCCACCCATCCCACTCTGGCCTGCCAGGCACCCAGCACAGGCCATGCGCATCAGCCGTTGGTGACCCTGCGGCGCTATGCCGTCTCCAAGATGGCGGTTCTATCCCGTGACTGTGCGTCTATGCCGTCCTTCTCTGCCAGTGAAAGCCAAGATGGGTGCACCACGAAGCCCCTTGGTGTTCCTGATCCCGCGGGCTGTACACCGAACTCTGGAAGAGAAGAAAAAAATAAAAAGAGACCGATCGTGCAATGTTCCACCCCGTTTGCCGTGGGGGGAACCAAGCACAGACCAGACCAGCATTGGGCCCGATGGCATTTCAACGAGCATGAACGGTTGGTTGGGTCAAACATCAGCTCCTGCCCCCCTGCCCGCCATCTGCATCTACCCGTCCAGACCCACCTTGAGCCTGCGCTCACCGGATATGATATGATAATCGCCCCCCTACTGGCTGCGTTTCCGCAACCTGACGTCACACCACCACGTCAAGATCCGCGCGGACAATGTCGGACTCAGCATCGACCGTTGCGACGAAACAACGCCTCCTCAGGCTTTCTATAAAATACCCTGCCGAAGGCGGAAAGACCGATGCTATCGACTACATCTTCATCGAGGTCGTCCCTGACATGGCCGCCACCACCCAGTGGAGGGCCGATACCCTCCACGGTGGCTTTCTGATCGGACAGGCTTGACGACATCAAGAAGCTGGAAGTCTACCGGGCCGTCCGGAATCCCGAGCTTTGGGAGACCGGCGTCGTCGTGCTGGCCGAGACCGACAACATCCTGCCGCCTGGAGCTGAGAGGCATTCGTGGGGCCAAGGCCAGAGCCCGAGCTGGTGCGAGAACCGGGAAATGCCGTGGGAGCCCATCCTCACGGCATATGCCAGCAGCCGCGCCGATGGCAACAAGGTCAAGGCGGACAAGTGGGTGGACGAGACTATCAAGGCCTTGAATGTGCGCTTCGCCTGGTGGGAGCTTGATAGGATCGATATCCCATACCGCGAGGTGCGCCCGGCCGCGACGGCCCCCCCGGCCCCACCATCATCGGCCCGCGCACCGCCACCGGCCGGTCCCTACGAGTTCCATTTCTTCGCGTATCTCGTCATCTGCGTGGCTATTTTGCTCGTCCATACACTCGTTGTTTTCTTATTCACGTATTTGTTTCCAAACTTCTCCACTCATTCCTAGCATACTAATCTGACGCACAGAGGAAGGAGCACATGATATACGAGAGGAAATAATTCAGGAATAGCGTTTTGTATTGAAGTCTCTCTCTTGACGAATACACTAAATTGTCGTCTAGGGCATGCGGTCACCCCCTGAGCGTGGGAAAATATATTGCGCGTGAGCCCGCCCACTCGACGTTCTCCTTGGAATACAAGAAACTCGTCATTTAGGGCTTCTTGCTCGTCTTCTTGGCCCTAAGTGCGGGAAAAGTCAGGACGCGCGACCAGTTGACATTCTTGTAGAGGCGATGGTCAAAGTTCGGCTTGATATCTGGGTTGGCTCCCAGGGCCGCCCGTGCGTCTCGCATGACCCGGGCGGTCCTGGCGACCTGTTCCGCGTCGCTGAAGACATCGCTGAAAGAGGCGGGTCCCCAGGCCAGGTCGCAAAAGTTGACAGTGACCACCGAGCCGTCCTGGGACAGGATCTCGCCCTCGCCGGCGAGGAGGCCGTAGCTCTCGACGCCGGCCGGGTGGATGAAAGCCATGGACTCGCCCTTGAGCTTCTCGCGCAGCTGCTGCTTGTTCCTCTCGCGAACGACGGGGTCCGCGGACCAAACGGCCCAGCACTCGATAAGGTCGTCGATGGTGAGGATCGGGCAGACGACCCCGCCCCTGGTGTAGGTCTTGATGCACGGCGGCCAGGCGTCCCAGGTGGCGACCTCGGCCACATCCAGGGACCCAAAGGCCGTGAGCTGGGGCTCAGTCAGCTCCTTGTACAGCTGCCTCCTCCTGGCCCACTCCTGTTCCCGCCGCTCGGTGGCGGCATTGGCATCGGCAAGCCTGGCCTCGAGCTCCCGCATCTGTGACCGCCCCTCGGCTGCAGCCAGCTGGCCGAGGAAGACGCGCTGCCCAATGAGCGCCTTGTCCCTCTTCAGCTGGTTCGCCGACGGCCCATCGAACAAGATGGCCTTGAAGGCGGCGGCGCGGGTGAAGAAGTCTTTAGCGGGCTTGCCGGGGATGAACTCTCTCACGACAATGTTGAGGCGACAGGTTTCTTGCTCGAATTCGATCGTGTGCTTGTACATGGCGTAGACCTTCGGAATTCGGACCTTAGACCCCATCATCTGCCGCAGGAACATCATGTTCTCCGCTCCAGTAAATATGTCCTGTTGGTACGGCCTCGGAATCAACTCACGGTCCCAATAATCCCTCTCATCCGCGATTGGCACCCTCGAAATGCTGACAGTGTAATGCTCGCCAACTTGTATGAAGGTGGATTTGACCGAATCCACCCACTCGCCAGGGCGGTACATAAGCTCCCACTGCTGGCCGCACGGCAGCCGCTTAATATACGTCGTCTGGGTCTGTGCGTAGATCTCCTCCCACGTTGGCAGCGGGGCAGGAAGATCGGACTCAGGCGCGTAGTACGGAATGGTCGGAGGAGTGTACATCTTGACTTGGCTGGAGTCGGAAAGTAGATATGGGTTGTTCTGCCGAATGCCGTGGGCTGGTTAAGGGTTGGTCCTTGAGTGGTATAGGTTGTCTCGGGTGATCTTGATTGCTTCAGTTCTCCTTGTTGAGTGACTTGAGGATGGAAAGGTTAGCCGGTACGTGGCGGCAGTTTGATGGCCTTTTATACCCGGACGTTCGTGGTCCAGGGAGGGAAGTTGACGCTATTACAGGCGTTGTGGCTCCAAGTCGTGGCGCCGCCATCGTCGCCTGCACCAAAGACGACGAGTTTCTAAAAATAGAAACCACATTCACTTCCTTTGAGGAATTTCCCTCCCTTGGCTCTGCTGACACTAGGTGTCAAAGAGCAACGCTGCCCCGGAAAAGGCGGTTCATGTCAACCACTCCCCGTCTGAACATTCGAGGAACCCCAGATCAAGACATGCCGCCTTTGGCGCAAGTGGTCTCTTGATTTTGTGCGGGTATACCTTTGTTAGAGTCCAAAGAAAGAGTCTTTCATGCCTGAGAGGGGAAGACGGAAATGGAACACCGATTATATGCCTTTTTCCTTCTACGTGGCCAAGCCGTGGGGTATGGGCGCACTAGCACTAGTCGCGAGCCCCGAGAGAGTCGGTGTCCTCGTGGTAATCGGAGTCTGATTCGGTAGTTCCGTCAAAATATAGCAACGTCTCCTTTACAAAAATGCAGTCATTCCATGGCAGGAAGCCGATGCTGCGTTTATCGAGCCCGAAGTAGGTAGACTCCTACATGCACGTCTAGCCAGGAATCATCCGTCGAGATAAGCCAAAGGTCTAGACGCCGGGGAAATGCGAGACAATGGACCTTGGCTTTTGATGGCGTGCTTCTTTGTGACAGGATTCAAAAGGAAATTGTTTCCGTGTTCTTCGTTCAGAGATGGCCGCGGTCTACTGGCGGGCCTCGATGGCCGCCTTGATGGCTGTAGAGTTGACAAAAACAGGCTGTCAGCGGAGGTACGCGGCTAGATGAAGACGAACTCGGACAGGGGCACCACAGGAACTAACCATCGCAGGTCACCTTCGCATCTCCAAACAGCATGCGCGTGCCGGGCATGTAGAACATGGGGTTAGGCACGTCGGCATAGCCGCTCGCCAGACCGCGCTTCATGACAATGACCGTCTTGCTCTTCCACGCGTGCAGCACCGGCATGCCTGCGATGGGGCTGCCGGGCTCGAGGGCGATGGGGTTGACCGTGTCGTTTGCGCCAATGACCAGGGTCACGTCCGTGTCGCCAAAGTCGTCGTTGATCTCGTCCATCTCGAGCACGATGTCGTAGGGCACGCTGGCCTCGGCCAGAAGCACGTTGCACTGGCCTGGCATGCGCCCGGCCACGGGGTGGATGGCGAAGCGCACGTTGATCCGCTTGGACCGCAGCATGCTCGTTATCTCGGAGATGGCGTACTGCGCCTTGGCCACCGCCATGCCGTAGCCCACCACGATGATGACGCTCTCGGCGTTGGTCAGCGCCTCGGCCGTCTCTTCAACGTTTGTCTGCGTCACGGTGCCTTCAATCTTGAAGTCGCCGGCTGGGGCTGGGGCGATGCCACCGAAAAGAACATTGGTAAGAGACCGATTCATTGCCACGCACATCTGAAGAGCAACTGGCAGTTAGCACTGAGCCCCTGGGGAAGATGTGAGGGTTCTAGCGCGATAAAGAAAAGAAGAAGAAAAAGAAGAGAACCTACAATGTACGACAGGATCGAGCCAGACACTCCAATCAGTGCGCCAACCGTGGTCAACAACGAGTTATCCAGCATGAAGCCCTCGGCGACGAGCGCAAAACCACTATAGGCATTGAGCACGGTGATGACGACGGGCATGTCGGCGCCACCAATTGCAGACGTGGTGGTGAAGCCCTTGGCGAAAGACAAGGCCGTGTTGGCGGCCAGGGCTCCAGCGGCGATTGCCGGGGAGCCAGGGGCCATGGTCACGAAGGCGCCCATGGTGGCCATGTTGCCAGCCAGCATGCCCGAGTTGAGCAGGTGTCTTCCTGGGAACATGATAGGCTTGGAGGATACCCGGCCAGCAAGCTTAAGGAAGGCGACGATGGAGCCCGTGAAGGTGACACCACCAATCAGGACGCCAAGGTAGGCAGTCACGAGGTGCAGCGTCGTGATATGATCGAGATCGGCCATGACACTGCCAATGCTCGTCAGGACCGCAGCCAGGCCGACCACGGAGTGGAGGGCGGCGACGGTCTGTGGGAGGTCGGTGGGCGTGATGCGCTTGCCGATGAGGAGCCCAATGATGCTTCCAATAGTGGCGAGGCCACCAAACTGGACCAGGACCTCGGGGGAGAAGCCAACAGCCAGCAGGGACGCCAGGACTCCCGAGCCGACACCGAGGATGCCGAGCGAGTTGCCCATCCTGGCTGTGGCCTGCGACGCCAGGCTAGAGAGGGAGCTGATGCAGAGAATGGAGCTCGCCAGATAACCGGCCTGGACGAGCCCGGCGGCGCCCGTCGACGCAGCAGCGATGAATCCGCCACCAAACAGAGCTCCAGGTATGGCGTAGAGCCACGGGTACTCTGGGGGGTCCGTGGGCCGCTTGAACATGTCCAGCATCCGCTTCGTGATGACGAAACCACCTGAGACGTTGACGAAGGCCAGGAGCACCGACAGCGCGCCAAAGCTTTGTGGGATGGTTTCGGGGACGTAGCCGCCACCCAGGACGAAGAGCCCGCCAATGCCGACCATGCCCGAGATGGCGTTGGTGACACTCATGAGTGGGCTGTGAAGCGCGGGCGCGACGTTCCAGACGGCGCGGTATCCAATAAGACTCGCGAGACCAAAAGTGAAGACGTTGCCCATAAAGAGCGGGCTGGTGAGCTTTCCGAGGGCGAGGGCGGTACCCATACCGGCTCCAACGAGCGCGACCTCTCGAGCTTCCTTCCGAAACGGCGTCAAGGCAACAGGCTCGGCCTCTTTGGCGACTACTTGCGGGGCCGCAGGTGCTGGAGGTGGCGCGGGCCGGGGAGCTGGCGGGAGGACGTCGCCGTTTTGCGTCACAATGGCGCCACGCACGACTTCGTCGCCTAGATCAACGCCGAACTCCTTCTCCACCGGGGCCATGGTGAGCAGAAACTTGGTGATATTGTTGGAGTACAGCGTCGATGACTGGGTCGGCAGTCGTGAGGGCAAGTCGGTGTATCCAATGATTTTGACGTCGCGATAGGTAACCATCTCGCCAGGAACCGTCTTCTCGCAATTGCCGCCAGCCTCGGCCGCCAGATCCACAACCACCGACCCAGGCTTCATGGTCTCCAGCATGGACTTGGTGATGAGCCGAGGCGCGGGCTTGCCGGGGATTAGGGCGGTCGTGATGATGATGTCGACTTCGCGGGCTTGGTTCGCAAACAGGCGCAGCTGGGCCTCCTGGAACTCCTTGGACATCTCCTTGGCGTACCCGCCCGCGCCTGATCCGTCCTCGTGGACTTCGACCTCGATGAACTCGGCGCCCAGCGACTGGACCTGCTCGCGGGTGGCCGGCCGAGTGTCGAAACCCCGCACGATAGCGCCCATGCGGCGGGCTGTCGCGATGGCGCTGAGGCCCGCCACGCCGGCGCCCACAACGAGCACCTTGCAGGGGGGGATCTTGCCAGCGGCTGTGACCTGGCCCGTCAAGAAGCGGCCAAAGTTGTTGGACGCCTCCAGCACGGCCTTGTAGCCGGCAATGTTGGCCATGGAGCTGAGCGCGTCAAAGACCTGGGCGCGCGAGATACGCGGGATCATGTCCATGGCGAATGACGTCGTCTTCTTCGCGGCCAGCTTTTGCACTAGCTCCTTGTTCTGCGCCGGCTGGAGGAACGAGACGAGCGTCTGGCCAGCCTTCATGGAGTCCACCTCGGGTATGTTTGGGCCGCGCACCTTGAGCACGATATCGGAATCGGCCCAGACCTTGCCGGCGTCCACCAGCTCCGCTCCGGCCTTGTCGTAGGCCTCATCGGGGAAGTCGGCAAGGGCCCCAGCGCCGCGCTCAACGAGCACACGCTTGAAGCCTTTCTTGAGCAAGAGAGCGACGTTCTGTGGGGTCAGAGCCACCCTGCGCTCGTTACTGTAGGTCTCCTTGGGGACGCCAACGGCGAGCTGGCCGTAGGGCGTGGTCGGCGGCAGCGCCTTGGTGGAGTACGTAGCCGTGGCCACCTGGCCGAGGGGAGTGGGGATTACGGACAGGACCGAAGCATGGCGGATGAGCTGTTGCTGCTGCGGTTGTCGGCAGCACGTTGTCGTCTTCGCCAAAGCTAGCGGCAGCGATGAGGCGGACCCAAGGCATTTGCTCGTGTTGTGCCATTTTCGCTGAGCGCGAGCTAGACCACCAAAGGATAAGGCCGCAGAGCCACCTAGCAGCGTGTTAGCTTCCGTTGGGCTATCTGACGCCCCGTCCACCGGGCGCTGGCGTAGAGGACCAGCCAGCCTGCTACCTAGGTAGGTAGGTCTCATGACAGATTCCTTTGTCTGTCTTTGTTTCACCTACCCAGCATTCCTAACTGGCCACCATGCCTGGCGTGCCTCGCAAGCGCCAGCGAGAGGGCGTGCCCATGACCATGATGGCCCAGGCCGGTGCGCATCAGGCACATCGACATGGCGATTGGGTGGGCTTCGAGGGAGGCTTCGGCAGGAAGCAAAGGAGGAAACCCTCTCGAGCTATGTCATTTGACGCATCCCACGACCAGCGTTGTCTGTGGAAGGCGACAAAGGACAGACAATCAACCCGCTGCTAGCTTTGCCCTTGACTCAATTGTGCCAAGGCACCGCAACCGCAGTGCAAGCTTGGGCGGGGGCACGAGCTCGAGCCTTGAGCGAGCCTTGAATGGCGTGAACAGGACGCAGGATGACGGTGCGACGGAAAGAAATCTCGAAGCAGAAATGGAGGTATGACCAAGCTTGGGGTTCGGCAGGCAGCAACGCGACCCAATTGAATAAAGGGAGCCTGTGGTTTCGTAACACAAAGCGCACAGTACCTTGGGTAGGTAGTCCAACGCACCGCAATGAAGGCACCTACATGTTCCTTCCAACGTACGTCAAGTGAAAAAAAAAAAGGAGGACCAATGGGTGCGCGAATAAAAAAGAAGTGCGACGATGAGCGGGAGGGAAGACGAGGGGAAAGCCGAGGGATTCTCGGCACCCCGCACCAGCCTCTTGGGACCTAGAGATTGGAAACAAGGGAGGCAGCAGGTCCGCGACAGAAATTACCCGGCCGCGTCCACATCTGCGAGCTGCCGTGCCGTGCGTGTGCGCAACATGCGACAGCCCGTTTACCTGCGGTGCATCGACCAAGCAGTGGACCAACAATGGCTCCCCGCTAGCAGGTCTACCCAGCCACGGCAACCCCACCCCCAGACTTGGGGGCCACTCCACTCAACCTAAGTAGCAGCAAGGGGGGAGGTGGGGAGCAGCAGGGCGGGGGAGGCATCGCGGGAAGGCGCCAAGTGCCCGCCGCTATGGGATGCACGGTACCTATGTGGGGATGCGAGGGGCAGGTGGTAACGCGAAGTGGTACACAGGCCAGCTGAGTGGAGACCTTGGCGGTTCGAAAGTTTGCCAAGCACGTAGCAATTCCATTTCTCCGGTCCTTGTCGAGTGCTGGTGCCAGGCGGTAGAAGCAGGACTATCAAGATTTCCCCTCTCTCCACTTGGCGACCCCAAATGGGCGTCTCGCAGTTGCGAAAGACCTAATTGAGCAAGGCCAAAGGGTAAATGCCAAACTCGAGGTGCCTGAACAGTAAAAAATAGGAACCTACCTGAACGTAGGCTTCAATCACAAAGCGGAAAGCACATTGATCAAGTTGTTCAATCAATGTAGCTCACGGTACGATGCTATGGGATCATTGATCGCAACGCATAGCCTGTGCGGAATCCCACAAAGTGGTAGTAACTTTACCCATTCTATTACCGAGACCCGTAGATCTGTATGGGGCGACGCGCACCGAGATGTTAGAATAGGAAAAGTGCGGTGTTTATTCTGGCGTCGGCTGGTGTAAATAGCCTGAGCGTGGCCAGGCTACCTTTCCCCTTTGCCCAACCCAACAGGTAATGGTAACACGAACACCCGTTCGTTTAGAAACCAGGTCAAGAGTTTGACGAGCAGCACACGGAGTTTGCTACAAACCACACTCCTTCTGACGGGGAAGCAGGCTTTGAAACGCCCAGGCCACGGCCAATCTATTCTAAACTACCACGCAGGCAACATATCTCTCCTTTGATCACATATGTTGCTGACCGGCCCGGGCATAAATTAGTCTACCTAGTCGCGTTTGAATCAACGCCTTCCGTGTCACCTTGTGACGCTGTGCTTTCTTGTGGGCCTATTTCGCCAAAATCTCTATGCACTGCCTCATTCTCGCCAGTAGCCCCCATCCTTTCGTGGGCCGCTCGGGCCCGAAGCTACCGATGGTCTCGGGTCCGGGACAGATGGGCAAGGCCCGGCCGCCCGCGGCGCCGAGCACCCTACTATCTGCGTCGGCGGCCCCCAGGGCGCGGCCGCTGGGCCGGCCCGTTCGTCGGGTGTCCTATGGTAATAAGGCGAGATGTGGGCGGGGAGAGGTGTTTCGCAGGTGGCCGGAAATGGGCATTCCTAAAGGCCGAACAGGTCATTGTAAGACTGGAGCTCAGGAACATGTGCCAAAATCCATATAACGCGAAGGTAAAAGTCTTTGTACGGGACAAAACATGTCTGCAAACCGGCAGCTCCAAAAAGACAAGCATCGTGTTAGGAGCACGGGCGAAACCGCCCGGCAGAAAGCGGGGGGCGTTAAAAAAACGGGCGAAACCGCCCGGCAAAAAAGGAGGAAGGGGGCGTTAGCAGCCAGCCGGGCACGAACCTTTCCGGGAACATGCCGGCAAGCTACCGGTATCGTAGCCAAAGCATAATGGCAAAGCTAAAAAATAAAATAAAGCTTAAATTGTACGAAAGCGTATAAAGCGCAAAAAATTTAAAAAATTAACCCCGCGTGCCCAAAAAGGCACGAAAAAAAAGGTTAAAAAGGAATAATTTTTGTTGGCGATAGCATTTTTGGTAAAAAATTTACGGAAATTTAATAAAAAAAATACCGCATTTAGCCCGTAACCCGGTAATTACCCGCTTTTGTACCAATTAATTTTTAATATATTATTCCTTTTTTTTACTTTTTTTATTTAAGGAATAAGCTTAAGTAATTACCGGAAAGGATTAAGCAAATTTAAAAAAAGCATTTGCAATTTCGTACCGTTTATAATAACGTTCGACGCTACGTTAAACACGTTAAAAAGGGCCGTTAAACCACCGGAACAAAATACCAAAAAAGCCCCGCAAATTTTCGATAATTTCGAAAACCTTTTTGTAAAAAAATTGCAAAAAATAAATAACGCGTTAAAAGCTTAAAGCAAACGCGCCCGTTTAATTTAAAAAATTTAAAATAAAAGGTTAAAGTATGCGCATAAAAGCTTAAACGAAAATAAAAAAAATACTTTTAAACAACGGAAAAGTTTTACGTAAAGCAAAGTTATTTTTAAACCGCCCATATTTAAAAAATTTGCAATATAGTAAAATATTGCTTATTATATTAACAATTACAAATTTATTTTCGAAAACAAAAAGGAACGTTACGGTAAAAACCGTGTAAAGGTTTAAATAATTTTTAGCACTTTCGATTATTGTTAGCGAGCATAATAAATAAAATATAAGCAAATGCATTATTTAAATACCGGAATATCGTTTATTTAAACCGATTTTTTGCGGTAATTTTAAACAAAATCGAAAAACCTTAATTCGCAAATATAATTAGCAATTAAAAAGTTTGCGGGAAATACCGCTATTAAGCAAAAAAATTACAAATCGTTTAAAGCGTTTCGGATTTGTTAGGATATAATAAAAAATAACCTTTTCGAATTAATACCCGAATGGACAAAAACGATATTGCTTTTTAACCGGTTCCGCCCCAAAATCCAAAAACGGGTAATATTTAAAAGCTTTTTTTACATTATAAAAAAATTGCAAGCTAAAGTTTTTAAAGTAAAAATAATATTGGAACCGTATAAAAGGATACCGGGGGATATAAATGTTTTAGCCCTTAAAAAACCGATTATTTGCTTTAAATACGGGCAGTTAAATTATATCGTTGCAGCATGCAAAATACGAACGGATAACCCGGAAACCCCGTCGGCTTTAGCAACCATATAAAAAGCGAAAAGGAAAAGGCCCAAAGTACGGTATTACGGGTGTAAAAAGTTAAGCCATATCCGGCCGGCATGCTTTAAAAAAAGCAAAATATTGCTATTTAATTCGATACCGTTGTTTGGCCGTTTAAGCACCGGGGCTTAAAGGTGCGCCCCGGCGGTTAAAACGCGTTAAAAAACTAAAATATATTTATAAATTAACGGTTGCCGGGTAAAGTTAAAAGCGCTGGTTAATAATAAAAATAACGTTAACTTATTGCATAACCGTTTTTTAATAAAAGCAAAAAAAATACCGGTACCAAACGGGGGCCATTTAACGTAATTCGATATTAAAAAACGCATGCTTACGTTAAGGGTAAAAGAATATAAAATTCGGGTAACGAATAGCTAGGAAATAACCCGAAAATTAATGGTATTTTACGTAATAATGCCCCAAACCGGGTACAACATTACGTTAAGCATGCTTTAATTTTAGCAAAAAAATATTAAAATCCAATTTGGAAATATAAAATAAAGGTTTTCGGTAACCATTAAAAAGGTTAAAATAATTTTGTTGGAAATAGCTAAAAAGCTAATCCAATCGGGATAAACGATAGCCGTATTAACGGTTATACGTTTGGAAACCCCGAAAAACCCCGGGGAAAGGTTAAAAGCTTTTCCGGAATAAGTTAAAAGGATGGTTGCAAAATATGCGCAATTTTATAAATTAAACCTTTTACCAAAATATATAAATTAAAATTACGCGATTAAATTGGAAAAAAAAACGATGCCGTTTTACGGAAGCATTTATCCTTTATTCGAAAAGGAATTAAAAACTTTCCGGGGGTATTTTAACGAAGTTATAACGAAAGGTTGGATCCGGCATTTAACCAATTCCGCTAGCGCCGAAATTTTGTTCGTTTTAAAAAAGGACGGGAAATTTTGCTTTTGTATCGATTATTGGGGTTTTAATAAAAATATTAAAAAAAACCGGTTAACATTTCCGTTAATTTACGAAATATTTAACCGGGTATTTAAAAATTAATATTTTACCAAATTAAATTTAAAAAACGTTTATTACAAAATACGGATCCGATAAGGAAACGAATAAAAAATTGCTTTCCGTTGCAAATATAAACATTACGAATATTTGGTAATGCCTTTTAGCTTGGCTAACGCCCCAATAACGTTTTAAAGCTTTATTAATATAGCGTTTAAAAAGTTAATTAATAGCAATTGCATTGTATATTTAAATAACATCCTTATTTTTTTAAAAATACAAAAAAAGCACCGCAAAGCAATAAAAACGGTGCTGGAACGATTCGAACGGTTTAAACTTTACATTAACCCGGCTAAATGCAAATTCGAAACGAATAGTATTAATTTTTTAAAGTTTAAAATAACCAAATTCGGGGTTAAAATTTTGCTGGATAAAATTGTTGCAATTTTAAAATGGAAAATACCGGAAAGCGTTAAAAATATTTAAGTATTTTTGGGCTTTACGGGGTATTATTGGAAATTCGTAAAGGGTTACGCGAAAATTACTATGCTTTTAACGAACTTTTTTTAGCAAAAATACCGTATTTTATTTAAAAAATGTTGCGAAAAAGGCTTTTTGCAAATTAAAATTGCTATTTACAAAAATTCCGGTATTAATGCATTTCAACCTTTCGAAACCGTTGTACGTACGAACTAATGCTTTAGCTTTTGCGATAAAAGCGGTGCTATTGCAATTACAAAACGGCCGGTAGCACCCGGTAATTTACATATCGAAAAAATTGCAATAAAAAAAATTGCGCTATGCAATTCCTAATTTAAAATTACTGGCAATCGTAAAAGCTTTCGAAAAGTAACGGCATTACTTAACTTATTTACAAAAAATTATTAAAGTAATTACCAACCATTTAAATTATACTTATATTTTAATAAAAAAAAAGGTAATAAAGCGCTAAATAAAATTGTTTAAAAATTTAGCAAAGTATAACTTTACGATTAAATAAAAGCTAAAATACCGGAACCCCGCGAATGGCTTGTTAAAACGTTTTTAAAATATACCCGTAAACGGGAAGGTTAATAAAGCAAAAAGGAATTCCGAAACGATTTGTTAGCCAAATTCTAAAAAGCAATTTACGTAAAAACGATTACCATTAAAAAAAACATTAAAACGATATTAAAGCGCATTTTCGAAGTACAAGCAAAAAATAATTTTATTTAAAACGGTATTTAAAAAAACAAGCCTAACGTTTGGGAAATTAACAACGATTTGTTTAAGCATAAAAGGAAAGTTTAAATCCCGAATTTAGCGCTATTGCAACGGGCAATGCTTTAAAAATAATACGATAACCCAACGGGGGGTTACAAAAGTATGGCCAAAACTTTAAAAAAGTTTAAACGGCAATTTAAATGGTTGGGTATGGCTAAAAACGTACGCAAATACGTACGAACGTATTAAATATGCTAGCAAATAAAGCTAAAAATACAAGCATTTTACGGGCTGCTAGTATTTTTGCCCGTACCAAACCGCCCGGGACAAAAGTTATCGATGGATTTTATTGGAAAATTCTTAACGTTAATAAATAAAGCCGGTAAAAAACGCGATGCAATATTGGTAATAATTAATCGGTTTACCAAATATAGCTTTTTTATCCTAACGTTTACGAAATTAACCAGTAAAAAATTGGGGAACTTTTTATTTGCATACGTTTAAAAATTGTTAAAAATACCCAAAAGAATTGTATCGAACCGAAATAAGCTATTTACAAACGGGTTTTAAACAATTTTTGCCGGACATTTAAAGGTTGCAAAAAGGCTATTAATAGCATACCACTTTTAAATTAACGGGCAAACGGAACGAACGAACCAAATAATAAAGCATTATTTTCGGTGTTTTTGTTGCGAAAAGCAAAATGATTAAGCGTTGCTATTGCATTTAGCAACGTAAATGCACAATACGAACGTGCATTTAGGGTTGCAAAAAACCCCGGCGTTTTTATTAATAAAGTTTTACCCGCAAAAGCTTTATAATTTTTAAGTAATTAAAAAAAAACCTTTGGCAATGGCCGAAATTAAAACGGGGGCTTTGGAAATAATTAAAAAGCAAGCCAAAAAATTGTTAAAAAAGCGAATAATACGTACAAAAAGTACTATAATAAAAGCAAAACCTTAATGCTTTTCGGGGTAAGCGATTAAGTATTGCTAAGTACAACGAACATTAAAATAAAAAGGCCGTCGAAAAAGCTATTAAATAAATGGTTAGGACCTTTCCAAATTTTAAAAATGGTTGGGTTGGCCGGGCTAGCGTTTCGGTTAAAACTTTTTGTAAATTACCGGATATATAACGTATTCCCGGCGAATTTATTGCAAACGTTTAAAAAAAACCCGGCGAAAAGCTAAAAAATAAAAAATTAAAAATCGAAAAAAAGGAAAAAGGATTGCTTTAAAGTAAAGGCTTTGTTAAAATATAAAAAGCTTTTGCAAAAACGAAAATATTTGGTTAAATAAACAAATTACAACGAATTGGAAAATTTGTAAATCCCAAAAAAGGATATTACGAAAAAAATTGTTTAAGCATATAAAGCAAATTTATTGGAAGCAAGCTTATAAAATAAGGAAAATACCAAACTTTAACGGGTAAATACCCGGAAAGGACGGGGGTATTATAAGAAAAAAATAATAAAAGCTAAAGGAATGGTTTAAAAAAATGTTTTAAATGTGCTAAACCGGTTAATTACCGAAAAAAAACGTAAAGAAATTTGTAAGCGGCTTGTAATAACCGTAAAATATTGTGCTTTATAAACAAAAAGTTAAATAAAGACGGTATAGTACGGGGGACGCTTTAAATTAATAATGCAACATATTTAAATCCCGAAGGATATGCAAAGTATAGCACATTTCGAAAAGCCCATAAGGGGCATGCTTAGCGCAATACGCTAAAGCAATTACCGCATTTTAAACGTACGTTGTAGTAAAAAATACTATTGTTTGCTCGAAAAAAAAATAAAAAAACCTCCGGATAGCACGGCAAACGGGCTTAAACGTTCGGGTAACGGTAAATGCATATTGGCGGTATTTAAACTTATTAAAAAGCGAAAAAAAAGCATTTTAAAATTATTTATTGGGGCATTAAAATTTAATTAATAATTAAAAACATTAAAACTTTGCAATGTTGCAAAAATAGCATAACGAAAGGAAATTATAATTTTAGCTATAACAAATTAATAAAAAAACTTAAAATTAACCACCTTTTAAAAAAGGAATACCAGTAATTAATTAAAAAAACATATAAAAAAAATCGATTAAATGCCGTATTTAAAGGAACCAAAATCCCCGAAAACCACGTTTTTTTCGCCGGCGCCAAAATCGTTGCCGCTAAAATCGTTAGCGCCGAAAGCGGCATGGTAGCCCTTTGTTAAAGGCACAGGGTGCACCCAAAGGGTGCGCGCGTAAGGTACAAGATCTTTTGTCGGCTCCTTTCGTTGGCTCAGTGGGGGCCCGACGAAAGGAACGCTATTTAAGCAAACTAACGGCCCGTGCGGGTTACGTGCAGCTGCACGTGCCGTGCGTGGCGGTAATTGCCGCGCACGGTCGGGCGCGTTAAGCAGGTTTGGAACCTGTCATTTGCCTTTTATTTATAAATGTCGATGCCTTTATCGACTTTTTGTTCCTTGCAAATTAAATACATTGCCGTCGTTTGTTTTTATTAATTGCTAATATTTATATTTATTTTAATTTTTTTTTTTTTATTTTTTTATTTGTTTTAGCTTTACTTAATCCATTACCATTTTGTACGTTTGCTTAAATGCTTTTTGGTTATCGTCCAGCATTGTTTCCAAATTGGATTTTTTTTTCCTTTTTGTTTTCCGTTTTTATTGGGTAAACGAATTTTTTTTTTTCGATTAATTATTAAAACGTTTAATAACTTTTTTGCATTTATATTATGTACCATTTCGTTTTATTGTGCTATACGTAATGGTTACTAAAAATTTTATGCTATGGCAAGCTATTACTTGCTTTGCTAGCATTACGTTTGTTTTTTAAACGCACCGTTAAATAAACGCGAATGTACAGGACCATTACATAACGGTAAATTGCTAGCATTACGTTTGAAAAGCCCGTTTTATTTTGCAATATTTTATGCAAATATGTTTGTGCTTACGGTATTTAGTGCTTTTTTTAACATGTTTAACGTTTGCTTCCAAAACGTTTAGCATATTAATTATTTTTACCATATTTTTGGGGTTGTGGATTGCTTTTTACGCGTTAGCGGTTTATCCAGTTAGCTTTTATGCAATATTTTTCTTTTTGTTTGGATAATTAATAATGTTTGCGATATCGAATTTAGAAAATTTTCGCCGGTTTTACAATTTATCGAACCCGTTAAACCTTGTTTTTTATATTGTTCGTAATATGTTAAAGCCGATTTTGCATTGCGTTCGCTTTTTTTTTCGGGCTTTTTTACATTTTTTTTTGCTTTAAAAATTATTGCCGCAATTTTGTCCATGCATTTTGTAATTAGCTAAATTGCTAAATCGATTATTGCTAATATTAGCGTTGCTTTGTTGCCGATTTTTATTGCATTTTTTCGTTTTTATTTTGCCGCCGACATAGCGTTAGCTACGTATATTTTGGCCTTTTTCGCTGCTTTCGTTTTGTTTTTAATGTTGTTGGCGTTACAAACTTTTTTTATTTTGGTTTTAACGGTTGTTGCTTATTTCGTAATGGTTTGTACAGTTCCTTTAAATTTTTTAATCGCTTTCGCTTTATTAACGCTTTTTTTGCCATCGTTTTTTTTGTTTGTATTATTATTGCTTTCGCTCGTTATAATTAAGGTTTTTTTTTTTTTTGCTATAAAGTATTTCGTAGCGGAAGTAAGCTTTGGCCGTTTGTCCTTTGCTATTGGGTTTTGCGCCCTTTCAACGTTTTTTAATCCCGTTACAATCCATTTAACGGCTTTAAAATCGAAGTTAGGAAAGCTTTTTGGTTTAAAATTTTTATTTAATATCGTTTTTATGCCAATTTTTTCTAGTTTTTTTTTGCTACCAATATTGCTTTTTGCTTTAATATTATTTTGGCTAACAGCACTTTGCTTTAAATGTTAATCCATTTTAAAATGTTATAATTAAAAATAATCGTTTCGTTTTTTTGCATAGCTTTATTCCAAGCGTTTCGTTTTTTTTTTTAATAATTTACGTTTTTTTTAAAGCATATTGCAATGGCCGCAATCCCATCGAATTTTGTTAATTTTTGCTATATTTTATATTTTATTATTCCTTTTTTTTAGTATAACGGTATTATTGTACGAACGGGCTTTATTGCTTTAGCTCGTTTCGTTAATAATAAAGCGCAATCGTTGCTATTGCTACGAAATCCTTGTTTTTATTTGTTAAGCACGAGGATTTTGGCTGTTTGTATCCTTTTTTAACGGGGGTTAGCTTTCCCGTTGCCAATTTTTTGGTGCCCGTATCGAACATTTTAACCTTTATTGCTTTTATAAATTTAGCAATTTCTTTTGCTATTAAACGTTAAATTTTTTTGGGTAATGTGGGTAAAATTGTGTTAAAAATACCGTTAATATTTTTTGGCTCGATATTTTTAAATAACTTTTTTTTTAGCTTATTTTCCAGCCAATTGTTATTGTAAAAAATTAATGCCGGATCCTCGTTGTAAAATAGTTTTTTTATAACGTGTATAATTTTTTTATCGATATTTAAATAAATTATCCTATCGTTTAGCACGTTTGCAATGCCCGCGTTTTCGTTATTTTGCTTATAATTGAAAGCATTTAAAATGGCCCCCCTGCCCAAAAACGTTTATAAAGTTTGCGTTTTCGGTAATATCTTTTTATCGTTTTCCAGCAAATCCCATTGTTTAATAAATTCGTTTTTAAACGTTACAAATTTTTCGATTCGGCTTTTTACCATTTCCACGTTTAAGTAAAGCATATTATTAACCCATGCAATTGCTTTTGCTTTTATTATCGTTTGTACATTGCCGATTCTTTTTTACAGCTTAGCAACGTAGCTTAACATTATTTTTCCGGCGCATTTTTTTTGGTACGGTAATTGCATTCCGGGTTTTTTTGCATTATCGTACCATTTGTTAAATGCGCTTTTTTCGTTTAGTATTAATAATATTTTGTTTTTAATTACCGCTAAGGTTTGTACCCAAATTTTATTTTTTAATAGCGGCATTTTGTTAACGTGCTTTTTTATTATTAGTTTTAGTATTGTATTGTTTTAGCTTTTGCCTTAATATTAATTTTAATATTAAGCGTACGCTTATTTTTCGATTTTCGTAATTTTACGGAATTTTCGTAATGCTTCGTAATGCAATTCGTTTCCAATGCTTAGCTTATCGATAACTTCCTTAATTGCTTTTGTAATTGCTTTTTTTTTATTGCAAATTGGGATGTTGGGGCCGGCGGGAACGTTTGGGCGGTTGGGAAAAATGCTTGGGCTGTTTTTGCTAGCTAGCGAACGTTGCTTGCAATTAGCGGGCGGGCCAACCAATTATTTATCGCTATCGGGCTAATTTTCTGGCTTAACGAACGGATTATTGTTTTTTGGTATTTGCTGGATAAAAAATAATTGCGCCCGTTGTTTTTCCATGCGGTTATTTGTTATTAATGCTTGTTATTTTTGTTGTAAGCGTTGGTTTTGTATTAATTATTGTAATTTGTGTGCGGGGATTCCGCTTTGCTGTTAGGAGCACGGGCGAAACCGCCCGGCAAAAAGCGGGGAGCGTTAAATGCACGGGCGAAACCGCCCGGCAAAAAAGGAAAAAAGGGGCGCTGGCAGCTAGCCGGGCACGAACCCCCCGGGGATATGCCGGCGAGCTACCGGTATCGCGGCCAAAGCATAATAGCAAAGCTAAAAGATAGGGTAAAGCTTAAATTGCACGAAAGCGCTTAAAGCGCGAAAAATTTAAAAAATCGACCCCGGGTACCCGAAAGGGACGAAAGAAAGGAAAGTTAAAAAAAAACAATTTTTGTTAACGATAGCACTTTTGGTAGGAAATTTACGAAAGCTTAACAAAAAAAACACCGCATTCGGCCCGTAACCCGGTAACCACCCGCTTTTGTACCGATTAACTTTTAACATATTGTTCCTTTTTTTACATTTTTTTTATTTAAAAAGCAAGCCCGGGTAATTACCGGAAAGGATCGAGCAAATTTAAAAAGGGCATTTACGATTTTGCACCGCCTATAATAACGCTTAACGCTACGTTAAGCACGTTGGAAAAAGCCGTTAGGCCATTGGAACAAAATATTAAAGGAGCCCCGCAAATTTCCAACGATTTCGAAAACCTTTTCGTAAAAAAGCTGCAAAAAATAAACGATACGCTAAAAGCCCAAAGCAAACGCGCCCGCTTAATCCAGAAAATCCAAAACAAAAGGTTAAAGCATGCGCATAAAGGCTTAAACGAAAATAAAAAAAATACTTTTAAGCAACGAAAAGGTTTTACGTAAAACAAAATTACCTTTAAGCCTTTTATGCTTAAAAAGTTAGCAATTTAGCAAAATATTGCTTATTATATTAACAATTACGAATTTATTTTCGAAAACGAAAGGGAACGTTACGGTAAAAACCGTATAAAAGTTTAAATAGCTTTTAGCACTTTTAACCATCGTTAACGGGCATAATAAACAAAATACAAATAAATGCATTACTTAAATACCGGGGTATTGCTTATTTAAATTAATTTTTTGCGGTAACTTTAAATAAAGTCGAAAAATTCCAATTCGCAAATATAGCTAGCGATTAAAAAATTTGCGGGGGATATTGTTATTAAGCAAAAAAATTACAAATCGTTTAAAACGTTCCGGATTTATTAGGATTTGGTAAAGGACGACCTTTCCGAATTAGCACCCGAATGGACAAAAATAATATTGCTTTTTAACCGGCTCCGCCCCAAAATCCAAAAACGGGTAATATTTAAAAGCTTTCCTTACATTATAAAAAAATTGCAAACCAAAACCTTTAAAATAAAAATAATATCGGGACCGCATAAAAGGACCCCGGGGGATACAAGTATTTTAACCCTTAAAAAGCCGGTTATTTGCTTTAAATGCGGGCAATTAAACCATATCGCTACAATATGCAAAATACGAACGAATAACCCGAAAATCCCGTTGGCCCCAGCGACTATACAAAAAGCGAAAGGGAAAAGGCCCGAAGTACGGTGTTACGGGTATAAAAAGTTGGGCCATATCCGGCCGGCGTGCCCCAAAAAAAGCAAAATATCGCTACCCAATTTAACACCGCTATTTGGCCGTTTAAGCACCGGGGCTTAAAAGTGCGCCCCGGCGGTTAAAACGCGCTGGGAAACCGAAGTATATTTACGGATTAACGGTCGCCGGGTAAAATTAAAAGCGCTGGTTAATAATGGGAATAACGTTAATTTATTGCATAACCGTTTTTTAATAAAAGCAAAAAAAATACCGGTACCAAACGGGGGCTATTTAGCGTAATTCGATATTAAAAAACGCATGCTTACGCTAAAAGTAAAGAAATATAAAATTTAGGTAATAAATAGCTAGGGAATAACCCGAAAATTAGTAATATTTTACGTGGTAATGCCCCGGGCCGGGTACAACATTACGTTAAGCATGCTTTAATTTTAGCAAAAAAATATTAAAATCCAATTTGGAAATATAAAATAAAAATTTCCGGTAACCATTAAAAAAATTAAAATAATTTCGTTGGAAATAGCTAAAAAGCTAATCCAATCGGAACAAACGATAACCGTACTAACGGTTGCACGCCCGAAAACCCCGGAAAACCCCGGGGAAAGGCTAAAAGCTTTCCCGGAATAGGTTAAAAGGATAATTGCAAAATATGCGCAGCTTTATAAATCGAACCTTTTGCCAAAACATATAGGTTAAAATTACGCGATCGAATTGGAAAAAAAAACAATGCCGCTTTACGAAAGCATTTATCCTTTATTTAAAAAAAAATTAAAAACCTTTTGGGGGTACTTTAACAAAACCATAGCAAAGGGTTAAATCCGGCATTTAACCAGCCCCGCCGGCGCCGGAATCTTATTTGTTTTAAAAAAGGACGGGAAACTTTGCCTTTGTATCGATTATCGGGGTTTTAACAAAATTACTAAAAAATATCGGCTAGCACTTCCGCTAATTTACGAAATATTTAACCAAATATTTAAAAGCCAATATTTTACTAAGCTAAATTTAAAAAACGCTTATTACAAAATACGGATCCGATAAAAAAACGAATGGAAAATTGCTTTTCGCTACAAATATGGACATTACGAATATTTAATAATGCCTTTCGGTTTGGCCAACGCTTTAACAACGTTTTAAAGCTTTATTAATATAGCGCTTAAAAAATTAATTAATAATAATTGCATTGTATATTTGGACAATATTTTTATTTTTTCGAAAATACAAAAAAAGCACCGCAAAGCAATAAAAACGGTGCTAAAACGATTTAAACGATTTAAACTTTACGTTAACCCGGCCAAATACGAATTTAAAACGGATAATATCGATTTTTTAGGATTTAAAATAACCAAATTCGGGGTCGAAATCTTGCCGGACAAAGTTATTGCAATTTTAAAATAAAAAATACCGAAAAGCGTTAAAAACATCCAGGTATTTTTAAACTTTACAAAATATTATCGGAAATTCGTAAAAAGCTACGCGAAAATTACTATGCCTTTAACGAATTTCCTTAACAAAAATACCGTATTTTACTTAAAAAATGTTGCAAAAAAGGCTTTTTGCAAATTAAAATTGCTATTTACGAAAGCTTCGGTATTGGTACATTTCGACCTTTCAAAACCGCTGTACGTGCGGACCAACGCTTCGGTTTTTGCGATAAAAACGGTGCTGTTACAATTATAAAACGGCCGGTAGCACCCGGTAACTTACATGTTAAAAAAGCTGCAATAAAAAAAACTGCGCTATGCAATTCCTAATTTAAAATTGCTAACAATCTTAAAAACCTTTAAAAAGTAACGGCATTACCTAACTTATTTATAAAAAATTGTTAAAATAATTACCAACCATTTAAACCATACCTATATTTTAATAAAAAAAAGGTAACAAAGCGCCAAATAAAATGGTTCGAAAATTTAACAAAGTATAACTTTATAATTAAATGGAAGCCAAAATACCGAAACCCCGCGGATAATTTATTAAAACGTTCCTAAAACATACCAATAAACGGGAAGGCCGATATAGCAAAAAAAGAATTCCGAAACGATTTGCTAGCCAAATTCCGAAAAACAACCTACGTAAAAACGACCATTATTAAAAAGGATACCAAAACGATATTAAAGCGCATTTTTAAAGCACAAACAAAAAACGATTTCGTTTAAAACGGTATTTAAAAAAACAAGCCCAACGTTTAAAAAATTAGCAACGGTTTATTTAAGCATAAAAAAAAATTTAAATTCCGAATTTAGCACCGTTTAAACGAACAATACTTTAAAAACAATACAATAACCCGATAAAGGGTTACAAAAACATAGCCAAAATTTTAAAAAAGCTTAAACGGCAGTTTAAATGGCCGGGTATGGCTAAAAACGTACGCAAATACGTACGGACGTATTAAATATGCCAGCAAATAAAGCCAAAAATACAAACACTTTACGGGCTGCTAGCACTTTTGCCCGTACCAAACCGCCCGAAACAAAAATTATCGATAAATTTTATCGGAAAGTTTTTAACGTCGGTAAATAAAGCCGGTAAAAAGCGCAACGCAATATTGGTAATGGTTAACCAATTTACTAAATATAACTTTTTTATCCCAACGTTTACGAAATTAACCAATAAAAAATTGGGAAGCTTTTTATTTGCATACGTTTAAAAGCTGCTAAAAACGCCCGAAGGGATTGTATCAAACCAAAACAAACTATTTACAAACGGGTTTTAAATAACCTTCGCCGGACATTTAAAGGTCGCAAAAAGGCTATCGATAGCATATTACCCTTAAATTAACGGGCAAACGGAACGAACGAACCAAACAATAAAGCATTATTTCCGGTGCTTTTGTTACAAAAAGCAAAACGATTGGGCGTTATTATTGCACCTAGCAACGTAAATGCATAATACGAACGTGCATTTAGGGTTGCAAAAAAACCCCGGCGTTTTTTGCTAATAAAGTTTTACTTACAAAAGCTTTATAACCTTTGGGTAATTAAAAAAAAACCTTTAGCAACGGCTAAAATTAAAACGGGGGCTTTGGAAACAATTAAAAAGCAAGCCAAAAAATTGCTAAAAAAAGCAAATAATATATACAAAAAATACTATAACAAAAGCAAAACCCCGGTACCTTTCGGGGTAAGCAATTGGGTATTGCTAAATACGGCAAACATTAAAATAAAAAGGCCGTCGAAAAAACTATCGAACAAATGGTTGGAACCCTTTTAAATCCTAAAAATGGTTGGGTTAGCCGGTTTAGCGTTCCGGTTAAAGCTTTCGGTAAATTACCGGATATACAACGTATTCCCGGCAAATTTATTGCGAGCGTTTAAAAAAAGGCCCGGCAAAAAAACCAAAAAACAAAAAACCAAAAATTAAAAGAAAAAAAAAAATCGCTTCGAAATAAAAGCTTTGCTAAAATACAAAGGGCTTTTGCAAAAACGAAAATATTTGGTTAAATAAACAAATTACAACGAATTGGAAAATTTATAAATTTTAAAAAAAATATTACGAAAAAAATTATTTAAGCGTATAAAGCAAATTTATTAAAAGCAAATTTACAAAATAAGGAAAATACCGAACCTTAACGGGTAAATACCCGGAAAGGACGGGGGTATTACAAAAAAAAATAACAAAGGCTAAAAAAATGGCCCAAAAAAATGTTTTAACGTGCCGAACCGGCTAACCACTAAAAAAAACGTAAAAAACCCGTAAACGGTTTGTAATAGCCGTAAAATATCGTGCCCTATAAACAAAAAGTTAGGTAAAAACGGTATAGTACGGGGAACGCCCCCAAATTAATAAT